AAGTGCGCTCCGGTTTGAGTTTGGTGGAACGCGGATTTGGAATACATGACAGTTGCTTGGGATATCTATAATTGTGGTATTGATTGAAAGAGCCTTACGTGCAATATGTTCTGGTTGGTGCACTATTAGCTTCACTTTATGCTTGCATGACGTTGCGTTATAGCTGCAACAAAACCAGAAATTTTCTCGGTGTTTGAAGTGAAGAATATTTGGGCCAGAACATTTTCTTGGCACGTGTGTTTATGTGGCAAACCTTCCCAGGAAATCTGGGTGGGGCAAACTACCCGATTCTGGGCTTTTTGGGTGGGTTTGCACCACCCAGATTTATGGCTTTGTGAAGAGCATATCTTTAGAAGGAAAAGGAATCATTTGAGTAAGTCAAAGTAATTCATGTGGAATTTTCTGTGCTCTCAACTCAGCAGTCAACACAGGAAATTTCTTTCCCACCCACGCCGCCCGGGGGTAGACGCAGGGGCCGACACATCAGTGTCATAAGGCTGATGGCGCTGCACTGCTACACGTGCCATGTTATGGGCCACCGTTGGTGGTATCGACGTACTTTCCCCATTTTCTCGGCCTGCCGAAGAAAAAGTGCGCTCCGGTTTGAGTTTGAGTGGAATTGAAAGAGCCTTACGTACAATATGTTCTGGTTGGTGCAGCTATCATGCCTTTCAAGGCTTGGTTGACTTCACGTCAGGGCATCTCACTGAATACGACGCACTTTTTGCCAGGTCTCCGTCCACCCACTACGTGGAGCATTTCAGAGATGGATGCATTGTCTCAGCGCAGACTATGAGAGAAGTCAGAAGGGTTTGCAACTCCAATATTTAGAGTGCATTACTTGTGAACCCAAGCGGAGGCTTTGTCCAGAATCTCCGAAATCATCTAATACCTCAAGTCGCACTCACAGTTCTTAGCAACCTGCGCAGCTCGCTTTCCATTTGCGATTTGCCATGCGTTCTTTATAGAAACTACGATCGAGAGTTCCTTCGTCAAGTCTCTGCCCTGACCATTATTGGATCTATTGAAGTTGAGCGGCAAAGAGAACTCGTTTACCTTCTCATTCACATTCCGGAAAGCAATGTTTCGACTAGCCCACTGAACCACATATCTTTGTGGTTAGCGTTCGGGAAGAGCTAAAGGACACTTAACGGTTGCTGGAACTGTCGGCCTTTTTGACAAAGAACTCGATGCTTTGGTCAAAGCTTTTGGGCTTGCTTACTCTAAGAAGCAGCAGCGCCCAATTGTGCCCATTACTGACAACACTAGTCGGTGCACCTTTTGTCTTAGAGCCAGAGGCTTAAGTTTGCAGCAACTTCAAGCTCTTGTGCAGGAAGTCGAGACTCTTCACGATCAAGCAAGCGTTGAGAAGAACGTCCGGGAAGTCGCCTGTTGAGCTGCAAATCTGGTTCAGCTTCACCCCTGTGCAAGATCTGTTTCGTCATGTCATAGAAAGACGGATTTAGTGAAACTGGGCTTCAGAGACCGAATTGACCGAATTGGCTTCAGGGCCAAAAAATTGGCTTCAGAAAACCCAAAATTGGCTTCAGATGCCAAATTGGCCTCAGAAGGCCTAAGTTGACTTCAAAAGGCCCAAATTGGCTCGACCAGCAAAGAGCCGTAAAAAGGCACCGGGCTTGGAAAGGACTTGAGAAGCTTCACACAGCTCCATAGTGCTGAAATGTTCAGTGTTCTTAAACTTGGCCGTGTACAGGCACAAAGCCCAAAAGTCTTTGTTCGATGTACTTAAACCTCCTCGGCAAGGGTGGAACTTTGGCTTGCAGCAAAGCCAAGACCCCACACTCCACATGGCTCCACTTTGCAGGCCATGAACATTGCGACGAAGCAGTGAAGGATCCGCCTTGTGCAAGGCTGCAAGGCCTCCCAGCTGAGGATTTAGAATAATTCTTCTACTCTGCTCTTTCTAAGTTTTCTTACTCTTGTCGTCTCCCGTCTGTGAAGGACAACTGCAGGTCTTGTTGGTTTTCTGTGGATAGGAGTCGCTTCAATCTGCTGACCAACGTGGAGGCCTCGCGAGGCCATCGTCTAGTCCATTTGATGACCCCTCCGACGCAGCGAAGGGGGTGAAGCTAAGTGTGGCTTTCAGCCCTGCGGAGTCTGTGCGCTTCAGTTTTCTTTGTGTGACAATGGCTCACGGAACTGAGCCAAAGTGCGTATTCCGAAGTCCTTGTCGACGCTTGTTTCGGCTTACCTGCTTGAGAACATGGCGAAGGTCTCCCGCCCTGTGCCAAAATGTTGTTGGCTTTTGTATGTGCTGCGTGATGGAGGCCCTCCACCCCTGTAGAGTCTTAGCAAAACGGACCTAACTATTGGTAAATTGCAATTTGCGAGGACTCCGCCGATTCCGCCGAGGCTTGTCACGCCGACTCCGCCAGAGCTAAAGTAGATGATCCCCTAATCTTGATTAGCGACACCGTGTAAGTGGGCAGGGGTAGAGTCGGGTAGAGCTGCGGGAAGATCAAGTGACAGTTTTTTAGCTAAACTGTGTCAGATAGTAGAAGCAGAAGGCAGTGCGCGTGAGGCTTGCAGCTGTGACTCTGTGACCTCCAAATCTGGGTCGAAAAAGCCAGGCAATTCTGGATTCGCGTGCGTGGGCCTCCCCTGTAGTGATTCGGATTGGGCGGGTGACCGCAAGTCTCGCAAGTCAGTTTCTTCTTCCTCAGCCATCCTTTGCAACAAGCACTATATCCATGGATCTTCCAAGACACAGAAAGCTGTAGCAGTTTCCTCGGCAGAGGCTGAGTTTCACTCAGCTGTCAGCAACAGCATAGCCTGCACCTTGAGGGCCCTGTATGCCTTTTTGTCCCCTAACCGCACTGGTCCTCCACATATACTTGTGAACAAGCCCGCCGCGAGGGCAATGCTCCAGCGCAGCGGAGTAGGAAGGGTTCGACGCCTTGATGCTAAGCTACTCTGGATACAGACCAAGGTAGCCGCCAACTCCTGAAGGATCCATGCCGTGGAAACGAGCCTCATTAGCACAGCGCATGCGTTTCTTGCTTGGAAGGCTGAACATCCGTGATTCGTCACAAGGTTTCGGAATTGTTGGGCAAAAACAGCTTGATGTTTTGGAAAACGCAAAGGCTGTGCTGTGCGTGTAGCTTGCAAGCAACTTCGAGGGTGTGCCAAGCGAGACAAGACTGGCGATGCCGCCAGAATCCTGAGTGTTGTGTTCTGTGCCATGCAGGCACGCGATGCCTTTGGCGCTGATGCCAACGGATCAGACGAGCCCAATATCTCAGACGCTTTGAGCCATGGTGACGATGGCAAGTCCAAGCTGTTGCATGTGCTTCACCTTGTCTTGCAAGTTTGGTATGTGATTGTGCATCTCATTGCGAACTGTCAGCGCGCTGTCCTGCCAGTCAAGCGCCCGTTCGCCACGATGCTACACAACGTGGCGTGCGGCGTTATGCTAGCCCTGTACGCGATCGTCTCCGGATCTCGGCGTTCCTGGCTGTTGCCTGCCCCTTCTTGCAGTGCTCATGATGTGATTCTGTTGCCACCGCCGCGGCAATGTTGCCAATGCACCTGTAACTGCGTCGGTTGTTGTGGTTAGTACTGGTCCCGAACCTTCCGGCCCTAGTTCCTCTACCCCCAATGCGCCGCTTGTACAGTACATGCTCAGACCAATGGTTGCGAGTCCACAGCCGGGAACATCCGCAGATGCTGCGTCGAGCAGCGCCCAAGTTTCTAAGCCAGCACCGAAGCGTCAACCGACGCCTGTGCCGCTCGAAGAAGACAATATCAACCAGATCCGTGATCGTCTGCATGCTTGGATGCGTGAACATATGGGAACGGCCCAAAACGTTAGGCTTGTAACAGGCCCCCGGGCGGGCACGGTGCGACAAAGGGTTTGTAACAAAAACCGGTTCTTGCGACAAGCCTTGCACGGCAAGGCTTGCGACAAGGGGCGTTTTCTAGAATGCCACGCGACAAAGGTTATGAAACATAGCTGGCGCGACAAGGGGCGCGACAAGGGTTTGTAACAAGGTGGAAGCCGCCCCCCCGCGACAAGGGGGGTATTGGGCCAAGGCCATAATGTGATACCGCCAAAGCCTGATCAATTCGAAAAACAACAGCCAGCCTCCCGGAAATCCAAAACCTCGGCACAGCGAGGGTTCAGCAAAACAACAACCAGGTCCCTATCATCTGACGGCCGTCTCACCTGACTCGCATGTCACCTAGAAGCCCAAAACCTCGCAGCCCATGACGTCAGTTCTGACAGCCGTCTCACCTAGCAGGATTCAAATCTTTAAGTTTGTCAATTTCCGTTTGAACCTTCGACTTGGGGTTCAACTGGAGTTTCGAGCATAGAGTGCATGAAAAGGTCAAAAACAGAGCTTCGTTTCTTGTATTTCATTTTTTTGAGAATGAGAGAAGCAGAGAAGCTGTATTTCCAGCCCCCCGCAGTGTTTCTGGTTTGTATTTCTTGTATTCATTCTTCGCGAATCGGAATCGTAGGAGAAGTGGGTAGTGGAAGAAGAAAATTAGTTTAAATTTCATCCCTTTTGTTTGTTGTGTCTTTTGTGTTTCATCCTTCCTGAATCGGAGAAGAAGAGATGCAGGAGGGGGGTTTAGGGTTTAGGAAGTTTTCGGGTTTAGAGAACCTCAATCCAATACGGACCAATGGATTTCGCAAGCACTTTCTGGCAATATGTCGGGAAGAATAGCGCCAAAGACCCGGGACACTCCTTTCGGGCCCTGCACATTTTGGCTTCACATGCATGCGCGAGCCTACCGGTTTTCCTGAAGTTGTTCCCAAGTAGTGGGGCACATGAGCGTCGGTACTCTCAAACCCAAGTTTTGCACCACTCCTTGCCCGAGCTCGTGGAACAGGTTCCCCAATCCTAGCCGGGGTGGAAAGAAGATGAAGCAATTGGGGTTTCTTGTTGAAAGGGTCATGTCACCGTGTGTGTGAAAACCGCCGAAGCTCGGTCCAAGAAGCCCTGAGCACAGCGCCGCGCTTCCGTCTATGAAGCATGCTGCGTGTGGCCACACGCACGGCGATTCTTTTCACTCTGGCCCCGCTGCGCGCGTTAGCACTTGCGGGCCCTTCGTGCTTGGCACCGACCTCAGTTGTGGAATGCCCCAAGCCCTCCATGGGGCATCACAATCAATAAGCCGCAAGAATGTTTTCAGGAGTTTCTGAACCTGAAGCCCGACACCCCAAAGCCTGGGCCTAAGCCTAAGCCCGAAAACGGGTGCCCACACAGTGACTGAGGCCCCCGAAGTTTCTTACTGCTAGAGGCTCGAAATCCTTGGACCGAACAAGGTTGGGTCAAGGGCTTAGGGCTTGGGATCGGCTGCAGGATGAAGACGGCTACGGCACGCTGCTCCTGCAGAAAGAGGGAAGAAAGGTCGCCAGAGAGCCAAGCGCGTTGTCTGTTCAGGTAGACCCCGAGGCTCGCTGGCATTGAGGGGGCAGCCGAGACAGCCATAAATTCAAACCGATGATTCAACCTGCCTTAAAACCTTAAACCTCAAACCGGAAAGCTGCAACCGGTCTTCAAACGTGCTTCTTGAGCTCTAAATCGCAACCGAAAGCTTCAAAATTCTGTAGCGTCAACATGCCTCAGCCGTTGCATTCTGCTTGGCTGAAGACTGCGCATGAACGATGTCTTCTTCTGTGCACTCAGGAGAACGGAATTTGCCAGCCGCGAAATCAAACACTTCTTGAACGGGAGGCCGCATCTTCCACTCATGAATGGCTGATGGTGTTGCAGGTTTCGGTGCAGGTTTTTGCAGTTGATTGTCAGCTGGGAGGTCCTGTCCAGTGGCAAGATGGTGTTGGCAGATAAAGTCCTGGACCCAAAATCCTGAACCCCCAATCTCCCCCCCCCCCCCCCCCAAAGCTTTCAGCCCAACAACACGTTGCACTCCACCGCTGAACTTTCAACACTCCGTTGGCCTGCCACACCCGAGCCTCGCCAAAATTCTTCCTAGGGTCCTTGAGGGTGCGAGGATTTGCCGTCCGCTTAGGAATTCAGGCCGTGAGTCCCCACAGTAAGCCTTGACCTTTGCGTTGGAGCACAGCAAGCTAGCCTGAGTTTGCGAAGTGGACGCTTGCACTGCCAGGTGCCAATTCTGGAGGTTCTTTCCAAGCACCCAGGCACTAGCCAAGAGCATTGCGGGAACTAAACCCGAGATCCTAAATGGACACGCCCCAAAGCCTGGCAGTTGGGTTTAGGGTTTGGGGTCTTGGGTCGGGGGGGGGGTTTATGGTGCAGGGATTCTTGAGCCCGGAGCAACACCTGAACCCTAAACCATAAGCACAGATTTTCCGGCTCGGTGTTTATGCCCAAAACCCTTGAACCTTCAGTCCCTGAAGTCCTGTTGTTCTTGCCCCGGGAGTCGGAGTGCTGACGCGGCGGCAGCACCACAGAAGGGGTGTTTTGTTTAAAGTGCGAGACCTGAAAGCCCAACCCTTAAACCCTGCGCCATAGCCCTAAACCCTAAACATAAACCCTAAACCCTAAACCCTGAACCCTAAACCCTGAACCCCATATCCTGAACCTTGTGGCGGCTTGGGGCTCTCGGAGACGATGGGGACATCTCCAGGCACTTAACAATATATCCCTAAGCCACCAAGTCCTAACCAAAAAGCTAAAATCCTAAACCCAAGATGGGCATAGCGTCATGATTTGTTGCAGCATGTACGTCTCTTGTGCTACTAGCCGGGAGTTTCTTTTTGTTCATGTCAGGGGAAAGGGCTACAAATAGTGATGCATGTTTTACATAGCTAGCTTGCCTTTTCTGAACAACATAACGGGTTGAAACAGGAACGCAAACGCTGGGTGTTAAAGGTCTCAGTCTCGAGCACCGAAGTTCATTTGGCGCATCGGTTGTCCCAGTAGATGTATCGGCGACTGAATTTTAAGATTTTCCTTGATAAATATAATCGATATAATTGCGCCCCGTTCTGTTAATCACATGAATGAGGTTTTCACATCTTTCGATTGGAGGAACCAGTATTGTTGTTGAAAGGTATCGATTCACGAGTTGAATTCATGGATTAGCTCCCCAGGTATGTATACTCTGAAAGCCCGCCGAACAACCCCGGAGCCTCGAAACCAGAAACGGTGAAACTACAGTGAGCCCTGCAATACCCTAAGCTCTCAACCCTACACCCAACTCTTTTTGCAGGTGAGGATGGCTGGTGTGTCTTTGGCGCGGCTGGCACATGGAGCAGGAAGTGTGCGGTCAGCCGGCGAAAGGCCTGGTTGAGATTTCAGATTTTGTTTTGTGTGTTTCGTTTTTTTTCTCGAGAAATCGTATGTGTGTATGTGCACACGCGAGTTTTTCTATTCATTAGTTCTTTGTGCTTTTTAGAGCTTTTACATGTTGACGTTTGTATAGTGTGTTGTTTTATTGGTTCTTTTTTGTCGTCGTTGTTTATTCGAGTTTGAACGTTTCAGGATGATGTACAGGACCTAAGGGTCAGGCCTTTATCTGCACAAGTTTCCAATTGTGGTCCAAGATGCTCGTTAGCCCCATCTCGGGTTGGATGCGGGGTACGTTTTCGGGTTTTGGGTTTAGGGCCGCATGACCCTTGACGATTTCCAGGCTGACCCTCGGATGTTCGCTGAGTACAACAACGAGGTGTACAAGTCCTACCTACCGACGTCCAGTATGTCAAAGACGCTCAGGCTCCTAGGTCCTGTTACGGGAGTTGTGGCCACGGGCCTGGCCGAAGCCAGAACCCACTGAGTCGCAATACGGAGATTGCTAAGACAACCCGCATGGAGTCTTCCAAGGCAGCTCCGGTGCGCATGTCGTACGCTGCACTCAGCTCCTCACCTCCCAAATTTCTGAAATTTAGGGTTTAGGGTTTAGGGTTGCTCAGGTTTCGACAGTCCGCGGCTCCCTGCTTCTCTCAGGCTTCCCGATGGGCGAAGCCTCCACAACATCGTCGACGGGTCATATCCCCTGGACGATGCCTACTGCTGGATTTTGGGCTGGTACGACCTGGACCGGAAAGCGGCCGTCAACAGCTACACCTACCTCACGGAGGTGCGGAGAGAAAAGAGAGAGGAGTCTGAAGACCCTGTGGGATGTCTTGTCTTGTCGGTATCCTGAACTGTTTCCTTCATTCGGTTTTCGGCCCAAAGGGTCTTGGAGGTGCAAGGTGGCAAGGGGGCCTAGGCCTGGAACGGCAGTGACCACGGTTGCCACATGACATGGAAACACGTGCGTCTGAAGACCCAGCTCTCTTCCGAAACCCCCCCCCCAATCTTAGTCCGAGCGTTCCTCGCCACACATCTCGTGCGCGCAGTTCCTTGATAGTAGTTTTGGGCCCAAGGACCTCCCAAAACCGAAGCCCCGAACCCTCAGCCCCAAATTCCGCAACCCCCCCAAAACCCGGAAGGTTTCAGCGGCCTCATGCCGAAGTCTGGAGCAGAGCATTCCCGGCTATCATCAAATTAGTTTTGGGCACTTGTTGCAGGAGCCCCTGGCTGGAGGGGTTTTGGATTTAGGGTTTAGGGTTAAGGGTTTAGGGTTTAGGGTTTAGGGGTTAGGGTTTAGGGTTCCGGGGCTTCTGGGTACTTAGGGATGGCACCAAGCTGAGGCTTCTTTGACAAGATGCGTTGGCATGTTCCCCCCCTTCATACTCATAGTCCTCAATAGGGATTTCAGTACCCCCCCCCCCCCTATTATAATCCCTATTCAGGACTGCTCGTATAAGGGGGAACATCCCAAAAGTGAGGGTTTTAGAGCTGACGGGTCGAAAGACCGAGGAGGTTTTTTGGGCCTCGGGGTTCTTACACGGCCAGGGTCTTCTTGTGACCTTCAAGAAGTTTTTTTGGGCTGAGGATGCCCCCGGATCGAAAGCCCAAAACTCAAAACTGTAGAAATTGAGTAGGCTCATGTTTACTCAGCAATCAAGGAGTCCGAGAAAGACAGGGAAGAGATCCAGAAGCTCTGGGCATCGCAAGAGCCGGCGCCGGCCTCGATCTTGGGGGCTGGTTGGGGGGCCTCCTCGCAGTAGAGTAGTAGTCGAGTGGGTAACCTTTAACCTTTTTGGGATAGTATAATCCCCTTAGAATCGCAAAGGTTAGCAAAGGTTAACCTTTAATTCCTGGGGTGCATAAGTGCCACGTTGGACGCCCCTAAACTCAAGACTTCGGGTTCTTGGGACGTCGCATGCAACGAGGCCTTTGGGGGTGGGTGTCCTTCTTGGGCGGCTCCTACAATGAGGACGATGGCATTTTGGGGGTGTATACATTTGTGTTCCGTCCTTCGCAGCTGCTTTCATTGCAAAACTTCAAAACCTAAACCCTGACATCCTACAGCCTCTGAGACGTTGGTAGCCATGAATAGCGGGGTTGAAGGCGTGGGAAGCTTGAAGGATGTAGTGTGGGCTGTGGCGTAGGCAGGGTTCTAGGCTCGAGGGTTTGAGGGCTTTAGGCCTTCCTTCTGGAGGGGTCCAGAAATCGATACGACTTTGCAGCTTAAGGGCTTTCAGGGCTGTGCCGAGGTAGGCTTCAAACATCCTTCAGCCCCTGAAGCCCTAGAGTCCCAAACCCCCCCAAAGAATCCTACGAAGCTTAAGACCCTTATCCCCGGCGGGACCTTGAATTTCTCAAGCCCATGCGGGTGCTTCCCCAAATAAGGCCTTAAATGGGGGTCCCCTTAATCTACCCAAAGTGAACATCACCCCTATCACAGGAACCCTCCGAAAGGATGAACCCAAGATTCTTTTCTTTTGGTAGGTTCCCTACATTGGGCTGCATTTTGGCTACCTGTTACACTACGGGCCTCTCGATCTACGTTCTTTTTGGGAGCTGGCCTTTTGGAGTACAGCTCGGATTCCAGGCTTCATGTGTAGTGGTCTGGATGGGGGTGCTCAGCATTGCCCAGGTGCTGAATCTTTCCCAAGACTTTGTGGACGGGATGAAAATTCATGCAGCAGCCAAATGCCGCTGGGCAGTTTAAAGGAAGGTGGGATCAAGGGTTTAGGGCTTTCGGGTTGCGTGCTCGAATTTATTTCGGCACATGTGTGGGCTGCGGGCCTGCATGGTCCTCAGCCAACTGATCCTCGCTGCCAGAGCTCATCTGCGGGTTCTGCTGCGGGCGTCTGTGCTGGCTTCTGTTCTCGGCCCGGTCCTTCTGCTTCATGGCATCCGGCCGCTCGTGAATGGGAGCCGGCCCTCGTGGCCATTGTAAGCTCCTCCAGTGGCCGTCGCTTTTGACACGTCTGGGTCACTGGCGACGCGCCAACACTAACAGTGCCACTTGCTGTTGGCAGCCGGGCAGATCCAGTGCTTTGTGGGCCTTGTTGACTTGTGGTCCTGGCACCTCAACATGCGTTAGGCTCCGCAGGCTTTGTCGATCTTTGTCCTCTTCCGATGCCACGACGTGCGTCGACCTATTTGGCTTCCACCTGAAGTCTGCTGGCGGATGCCATCATTCGCAGTGCCTCAACCACCTTACCTTTTGGTGGCAGGTCGATACGAGATGCTTGCGCGATCAGGGGCGACTTGGTGCTTCCCATGACTTCAGAAGTGATGCCCCACATGTCAGACCCAGTTTGCACTTGCCGAGCCGGAAGCCCAGCAGGCGGCAGGCATCACAGGAGCGTCACTGCTTTCGCAACGCGGGGTTCGCGGGTTGCCGGACGTTGTCAGGCCTCCTGAATCTGCCGTGCTAGGACCTTTCGGTTCGGATGGTGTTCCTTACATCCGCTGCCTCCGTGCATGGCTTCAAGTATGCCTCAGGTGGGGGGCGGATGAGTTGCCTGGATGGCTTTCCTCCTTGCAACTCCATGTCGGCTTGGGCTTGTTCGACACCCGTTCCAGGACCTGGGGAGCGCCTTGAGGCCTGGGTGGTTGGCTTTGACGTGGCCACGCTTGTCCGCTGGGCCACGGTCAGATTCAGCTGCGCAACGCGTTGTGTATCAAGTTACTGGTTGCATCGGCATGCCACCCATGTTTTCCCGGCCTCCTCATCAGCAGGTGCGTCCGCAGGATCGCGGCAAGTTTCCGCCTTCGGCCGAGGCTGGTCCGTAGCGTTTGGGGCTGTTAAGGGCCCCGCGCGTTCTAAGGCCGCTCGCGATCTGGTGTCCTTTGCGGGCTCCGTGTGACGTGTGCGAAGCTTTAGCTCGTTCTTGCGCTGATCAGCGGCCATGGCAGATCCAGAAAACATTGCCAGTTCCTGACTTCCTCAATGAAACCTTAAGCCCAAACTAAGCCCTAAGTCATAACCTTGACCCTTGAGCCCTCCCTAGCACACAAGCATCAACCTGCACGTTTAAAGGTTCAAGGCTTTGAGGGGGTTGAGGGGTTTGAGGGGTTTGGGGCGTATTGTCGTTCGCTGTTTGGCCGAGGCTACCAAAGTTCGCCTTTCTAATTCAGGCTGCAACCGAAACCCTGACTAAACCTCAAACCCTAGACCCGAAACCTCGCGAAGCCCTAAACCCTAAACCCAGATGAGGTTTGTTGGGTGGCGGCGAGGGTGGCGTCTGTGACATCGCTTTCTGCGCGCTACGCGCCTGTCGCTTAGGCAACGACAGGCTGGGCTACAATCTGAGAGGTGGCTCGCTGGCACTCTCAAGGCCTTCTAGGGGTTTAGGGTTTAGGGGTTTAGGGGTTTAGGGTTGAGGGGTTTAGGGTTTATTAGGGTTTAAGGGTTTGAGGGTTTGAGGTTTTGAGGGTTAGGGCCCTGAGAGGCTTGAGAGGGTGCCACGACCTGTCCGGGACATTGAAACTTGAAGAGAGGGTTAAAGTTGTCGAGTTCTTGAGGCTTCGCTGGGTTGCTGTTGAGGATAGCACCCTTGAGGGCGTGAAGGATGTATCTAGGGTATATTATAAGGAGGCCTGAGGATTTCCACAGATGTGTTTATGGGAAGCGATAGAGGCTTTCAAGGGCCTGGGTTTGGGGTTTCGGGCCTGTAGTTTTGGCTCGGAGGGCTTGTTGTCATTCCGACCCTAAACCTAACTCGCCCCCCCGAAGTAGAGCAAGCCCCAAAGCCCAAGGCCCAAACAAAACACCCCAAAACCCTGTAGACCCTACTTGGATGTTCATGGTACTTATTAGCCTATTTTAACTGTACTTCTGTACTTATAGCCATATTCGGGCACTTAAGGGGCTTATAAGTCCAGTTATTATTGGTTAACAAGTACCTCTAAACCCTAAACCCTAAACCCTAAACCCTAAACCCTAAACCCGAAACCCTAAACCCTAAACCCTAAACCCTAAACCCTAAGCCCTAGGCCCTAAGCCCTAAGCCCTAAGCCCTAACCCTAAACCCTAAACCCTAAACCCTAAACCCTGAACCTTAAACCCTAAACCCTAAACCTTAAACCCTAAACCCTAACCCTATACCCTAAACCCTACACCCTAAACCCTAAACCCTAAACCCGAAACCCGAAACCCTAAACCCTTGGTTAATAAGCACCATGAACCTCCAAGTAGACTACGAAGCAGTCAACCAACCCAGTGCCGAGCCTGGCCCCTGCCGTTTTTGGTAAGCCCAGAATACACACTGGCAGTTCCGAGTAGGAGGGTAGGTGACCTTAAACTTCAACCCTTTTGGGGTAAGAGAATCCACACGTAATCCTGAAGGTTAACCTTTAGTTCCCCCAGGGTGCTGGACAACTAAGATTTGGAGTTTTGCGTGATGCTGAGGCGATTGCCCTCCAGTGTAGTGGCTTGGGGTGAGCGTGGTTCCATTCAGTTCCCTTCAGACCAAAAAAGAGCGTCAGCAGCATTGCAGCATAAGCCCCAAAAAGCCCCCAAAAAAGCCCCAAAAAGCCCGAAACAGCCCTAAACCGTTTTAGGCTTAGGGAACCCCAAGCACGTGAACCCATGGCTGAATCTCTAGCGATCATGCAGGATGAATGGCACCAAAGACCTCGGACTTAACTTCCTGATCCGTCTCTACGGGCCCTGTGTCTTTTAGCTTCAGAGGCATCCGCCTTCCCCGTGTGCGATGGGTATATGAGCGTTCATGCTCTCAAGTCCCAAGTGTTGCACCCACTGCCTGCCCAAGCTCTTAAGCACCCGGCCTTCAAACCTAGCCGGGCTGGAAAAAAGCCCGAATCCCTAGTGACAAGTGAGTACAAGTGAAACTTTTGGGCTTCTGGTTTCTAGGGTTAGGTGTCGGTACGCATGCATGTGTGAAAGCCACAGCGCAGAAGCTTGGCCCAAGAAGCTTGAGCACAGCGCCGCGCTTCCTTTTATGAAGCATGCTGCGTGCGGCCAGATGCACGGCGCTTCTTTTGACCCTGGCTCTGCTGCGCGCGCCTGCACTCGAGGGTCCATCGTGCCTGGCACCTGCCTCAGTTGTGGGAATGCTCTAAGCCCTCCAAAAATTTCGTAAGCCCTTTAAGATTTTGAGCAGCTTGTCCATGTTTCAAGCAAGATTCTGACCATAAGCCCTACATTCTAAAGCTTAAGCCCGAAAACCCGTTGGCAAATTTGCGGGGTGCCAAGCTGCAGTTAACAGTGCCTGAGTCTTCGGTGCGAAGTTTCTGACTGGTAGAGGTTTACCTCTTCTCCAAGAATCCTTGTTCAGGGTTTAGGACTGGCTGCAGGATGAAGACGGCTACGGCACGCTGCTCCTGCAGAAAGGGGGAAGACAGGTCGCCAGACAGCCAAGCGCGTTGTCTGTTCAGGTAGACCCCGAGACTCAGCTATCATTGGGGGGCTAGGCCGAAACGGCCTTAAACAAGCTCGGAACCCTCGATTAAACCCTGCCGGAGACCCTAAACCATCCTAAACCTGAAGCCCGAAAGCTGCAATCCGTGTTCAAACCGCATTCTGGAGCTCCACGTCCAGTCCAAACCCGAAGATTCAGAGTTCTTTAGCCTTAACATGCCTCCGGCGTTCCTGAATTTTTTGAGTTTAATTTGACGTTGTGCAGGAACGGTGTCTTTTTCTGCGTGCCCAGGAGAACGGAATTTGCGAGCCGGTGAAGGAAAACGAAACAAAGGCCGCATCTGTGGATTTCGGTGGATGTTTCGGCTTTCAGATGGTTGTCATCGGGCATTTGGCAGCTGGAAAGTCTTGTCCCATGAAATCGCCCAGGCCTCGCTAAGTTCCCCTCGGAATCGCTACGGTCTGGATTGCGGGTTGAGGGGTTTGCCATAGTCCCCTTTAGGAATTATGTTCTAGACCTTTACGCATGAGCAAGAACCCAAGCAAAATTCGTCAAGATCAAAAACTACCCTGAGCTTGCGAAGCGGGAAGGCCGCTTGCGCTGTCAGGTGCCAATTCCGGAGCTTCTTGCCCACCACCCAGGCATCTGCCAAGAGTATGTCGGGTCTTAGGCACCGAACTTTCCGAGAGCCCGGCAGTCGTCGGACTTTGTTCCTTTGAACCCCTCTTCTTGGGGTTTCTTGGTTGGGGCTCAAGATTCCTGCGCCCTAAACCCCCCCCCCCCCGCCCGAAACCCCAAACCGCAAGCCTCCAAGCCTCCCAAGCCTCAGCATGGCAGCCTCTGAAGAGTTGGGGGCGCTTTCGGGTTCAGGGTTGAGGGGCCATGTCTGCCGGGCTCGGAAGACTGGCCAGCTTGTTCCTTTCCATCTCCCTTCGAAGGGCCCAAGACGCAAATCGGAGTCCTACTGTTATCGCTCAGGGGTGACTGGACGCCTAGTTGTTTAGGTGCCAAGACCTGAAACCTCACATCAAAAGCCTGCGCCGTTCAGCCCTAAACCTGAAGCCACCGACCCTGAACCCTGGACCCTCATGCCATACTCTAAGAGCCGGGTGTGGCTCCGGGCTCTCACGACACACATCCTGGAAGCCCTAAACTCTAAACCCTAAACCCCGAGGACCCGAAACTCTGTGTACCAAGAGTCACCAACCCTGGAAACCTTAAACCCAAGATCCCGAACCCCAGGCTATGGGAGTTTCCGAAAGTAGGGGTACCAAGATCAACGCCCGGGTGCCCGAACGGTGTACGCTGAAAACCAGAAGTGGTGAGCCTAGGGTCAGCCTCTACCGTGCCCTGAACATGGGATGTTCTCTCTTATACTCCTAAATGGGGATTACAATTAGGGAGTACTATAATGCCTGGGGGGGGATCCCAACCCTGAACTCTCAGCCCCACATTCCAAGTCTTTTGCAGGTGAGGATGGCTGGTGTCTCTTTGGCGTGACTGGCGAATGGGCCAGCAAGTGTGCAGTCAGCCGACGAAAGGCCGGGTTCAGATTTCAGCCTTTTTGGTTCTCATTTTCAGAGAAACTCTCTGTCTCTCTTGTGTGTGTGCCCACCCAGACATTTTACTATCGGAGACTTCGGCCCATGTTGTCTGGCAGTGCGTGGAGTGGTCGATTTGTCGAGTTGTTTCTTGGTTCTTTTCGGAGGGTTCGTGGAGGGACAACAGGACTCGGGAGGGGGGTTGCAGGCAGCCCACCCAGTGCTGTTGAGGACTTGTCACATCGTCATCGTACAAGCTGCGTATGGTCATGTATGGTCCCATCCTGCGTTATCTTCGCTGTGCAACCCCGAAGGGTTTTCCTCCTGAAAGAACATCGTTCGCAACGTGATGTTGGCTTTATCTCTCTTGCTCGGGCTGGATAAGGTTTAGGGTTGGCAGTTTAGGGTTTTGCATGCAGGGCAACCAGGTAGCATGACCCTGACGATTTCCAGGGTGACGCTCGGACCTTCGCCGACTCCATGGGCGAGTACTACAAGTCCTACATACCCACGTCCAACGTGTCGAAGACACTCAGGCTGCTAGGGCTGTTGCTTCCTCCCCTGAACCCTAAACCCTAAACCCTGAACCCTAAACCCTAAACCCTAAGCCCTAAACCCTAAACCCTAACCCTTGGTTGGCGCTTGTTGTCAGTCTTTGTATGGCCACGGAACGCGCTCAGCTCCTCGTAGTGCAAAGCTGCGCTCAGCCAAGCTCCCGGCTGGACCCTGCCGACCTTGCTATGTTCCGCTTATACGAACAGTCCTTAACAAGGGTTTAGGGTTTAGGGTTTAGGGTTCAGGGTGTAGGTTTTAGTGCAATAGGGATTATAATCGGGGTACTATAATTTCTCTATGAAAGTATAGGGGGGAGCATCAAGCACCTGCCCTCCCTGCTTCCGGCAGCTTGGAAGGTGTGGAGGCCCGCGGGTAGTTGCACTTGGGCATACGCGCCACTGAGTAGGGTTGTAGGGTTGTAGGGGTTGCAAGCAGCCTACATGAGGCAGTTGTACTTCGTTGCACTTACCTGACTTCCAGCCCGACGTTTCAGTACTCATGAGCTTTCAACTGAAGCTTCTCAAAGTTACCTACATCTAGGATTCAGGGTTTAGGGTTTTTCAGGTTTCGACAGTCCGCGGCTCCCTGCTTCTGTCAGGCTGCCCGATGGGCGAAGCCTCCACAACATCGTCGACTGGTCATATCCCCTGGACGATGCCTACTGCTGGATTTTGGGCTGGTACGACCTCGACCTGGACCGGAAAGCGGCCGTCAACAACTACACCTACCTCACGGAGGTGCGGATAGAGGAGCCCTGAGACCTACACAAGGGAGACACAGCCGAGATGTCCCTGTGTGTAGCTACCTGAAAAGTTTCCCTCTTCCGTTTTCGACCGAAAGGGTCTTTGAGGCTTTTGTAGCGTGTGGTCGGTCCATGGTTGCCACGCCACAAGCAAAGACACTGCGTCTGAAGACCCAGCTTTTCTTAACCACCCATCTTCATCCCAGCGTTCCTTGGCCACACATCCCGTCCGCGGAGTTCTGTTTCTTAGTATTCGTGGGCCAAGTGCTTCCCAAACCCTATAGCTCAGAAGCCTTCAACTTCAAACCCTGAAGGTGTCCAAGGCCTCGTGCCGAAGTCTGGAGCAGAGCGTTCCCAACTATCATCAGCTCAGCTTCGGGGACATGGTGGAGGAGCTCGTTGGCCGGAGGGTCTTAAGAGGGCCTCGTTGGGGGAAATTTGGGGGTTCCAGACCTCCAAACCCCAAGCCCTCGGGCTGAGCCTTTGTAGGCTTTGCATGGCTACCATGGGAGGTGGCCACCCAGGAATCGAGAGGTTTCTGCCTCTCCCAACCTGAACTTGCGCTGTTGATGCTGTGGAACTGCGACATGGGATGCCAAGCCCCGAGAAGCGTCTCAGACCCGTTTGGGCTTTTCGGGCTTTAGGGTGCTTAGAGGTTCTTTGGGTTTGGGGTCCAATTTTTTGGGGTCCAATTTTTTGGGGTCCAATTTTTTGGGGTGTTGCTCGGCGGCGTGAGAACTTGGAGTATCGCTCAATCTAGCCAATATGAATATGAACCGACCGATAAACCTAGACCCGCAAACCACAAAACCCTGAGATCTCACTTAAAGCCCTGGAGCCTGGACTCCAAACCCTGAGACCAGAAGCCCCAATGCCATAACGAGTTGAAGCAGGTCAGGGTTTGAGATGTTTAGGGTTTAGGGTTTAGGGTAAGCTCGAGGTCAAAGAAGTTTAGGGCCTGAACCTTCTGGACCTTGGAAGCTCCAAGCTCCTGTAACTTAGGGCTTAGGGTTTGTGGTTGAAGAAGCTTGCCTCCCCTAGTATTAAACCGCCCCTACCCCCTGATATGAAATTCCCCCCCCTCCATATACTACAATATAACCAGAATGGGGTATTTAAGATTAGGGCGTTAGGGGCTTTCATAGAAGGTGAGGGGAGGATTTTATTTGTCCGGATAAGGGGTTCAAGCGGCTGCCCAGGGGTTTAAGGGGTTTTAAGGGTGCTTCAGGGGTTGGCTTTCGGGATTCGGGTTTAAGGCCGCTAGGTTTTTTTTTGGTGGCCTTCGGGGGTTTTAGGGCTTAGGGCTCTGGGCTCAGGGACCCTGAGGCCCTAAACTAAAAAACCCCAAAGCCTGAGTAGAGTAGTGTTTGTTCAGAGAATCAGGAGTCCGAGAAAGACACGGACGAGATTGACAAGCTCTGGGCATCGCAAAAGCCGGTGCCTGCCTCGATCTTTGCGGGCTGTTTGGGGCTTGGGGGGTATGAGTGAAACCCTAAACCCTAAACCCTAAACCCTGGTGTAATTATGAGTGCAGGACCCTAAACTCTTAACACTCGCAAGCCCAGAACGCCCCTCAACTCCAGACTTCGGCCCCTCGGGACTTCGCATGTATCGCAACTCTCGAAACGGACTTGGGACTGGGTACCTTGTTGGTGGTTACTACAAAAATGACTCTGGCATCTTGGGGTATACTAGGTGGCCCCTAGTTTGGGATTTCTCGTCTATGCGTTCGCAGCTTCTGCGCTTCACAGCAAACCTTCAAAATTCTTAAACCACTCATCCCACAGCCCCGAAGTTTTTGGGAGCATGCACTCTGGGTTGCAGGTGTGGAAAGACTGAAGGATTTAGGGCTTCAGTCTTTAGGGCTTTAGCGTTCAAGTGATGTGGGGCGAAGGGCTTTATAGGCTCATCAGGACTGAAGCATGTGCGGGCTCAGGGGTCCCAAGGGTGCTTTTCGGATTCAGGATGTCTGGGTTTGCCCCTCATCTTCAAGAACCCAAGGTTCTTCTGAAAAGGGGCTCCCCTACATCAGGTTTGGCTCTTGGCTACCGGCTACCCGTTCTAGGACGGGGCCTCTCTTTCTCTATGCTTTATTTAGAGAACGGTTTTTTTTGCAGTGTAGCTCGATGTGGCTCTCATGCCCAGGTGCTGAATCTTTCCCAGGCTTTTGTGGACGGGATGAAGCTGCATGCAGCAGTCAATTGCCACTGGGCAGTTTCACGTCTGGTGGGATGAGTGTAAGGTTTACGGTTTCGGGTTTGCATGGTATCCCGCTCGAATCAAGTACGGCTCCTATGTAGGCTATCCTTGCTCTGGTTTTCGGCCCACTCCTTCTGTTTCGTGGCATCAGGCCTCTCGTGAACGGGAGCAGGCCCTTGTTGCCAGCGTAACCCCATCCAGCTAGTCCGGTTGCAGTGGCTTAGGTTTAAAGGCTCAAAGAGATTCAGGTTTACGGTCTGGGACTTGAGAAGTTTAGGAATTGGGGCTTCGGAGTTTGGGGATGATTAGCATTTTTTTTGGGTGCCGGGGCGGATGTCAGGGTTCTTTGGCTCCCTGAACCTTTGACCTTGGGATGCAACCCCCCCAGGTCGCCCTGACCTTGGGATGTTCCCCCTTGTACGAACAGCTCCGTAATAGGAGTTATAATCTGGGGTACTATAATCCCACATCCCAGCCCTGACCCCCAATGATGCCCTAAACCCTAACCCCTAAACCCTAAACCCTAAACCCTAACCCCTAAACCCTAACCCCTAAACCCTAAACCCTAAACCCTAAACCGAAGGCCTGCTGGGTGGCGGCGAGGGTGGCATCTGTGATATTGCCAACTGCGCGTTGCGCGGCTGTCGCTTAGGCAATGACAGGCTGGGCTACAATCTGAGAGGTGGCTCGCTGGCACTCGTTAGGGTTTAGTAGTGTTAGGGTTTAGGGTTTAGGGTTTAGGGTTAGGGTTTAGGGTGTAGGGTGTAGGGTGTAGGGTGTAGGGTGTAGGGTGTAGGGTTAGCGTTATAGGGCTTAAGGCTTTCGTTTGAGTTTTAGTGGTGAGGGTTGAGGGTTTCAACAGCTCGTCGGGGACATTGAGGCTTGAAGAGGGGGTTCAACTTGTCGAGTTCTTGAGGCTTCGCTGGGTTTCTGTTGAGGAATTTAGACTCTCTTGCCCTAAGAATCGAAGCCAGATTATTTGTCATAACAGGCTTGTTATGTACGTCATTTTGTGTCCTTGAAAAGTTCCTCAGCCCGCAACCCCAATCTCTGCTTCAGCACCCAAACCTTTGAAAGCCTGAAGGGTTCTTCTCGGGTCTCTTTTTTAAGGAGGCTTAAGGATAAAGCGCTTTGAAGGGCCTGAGATCCATGTTTGGGGGGTTCGATGTGGTGGGTTTCAGGGTTTCAAGGCTGGGAGCTTAGGCTCCGAAGGGAAGGAGATTCCGACACCAGTGAAGCAAGCCTGGATCCTGGACCCTGGACCCTGGACCCAGAACCCAGAACCCTGAACCCTGAACCCTGAACCCTGAACCCTGAACCCTAAACCCTAAACCCTAAACCCTAAACCCTAAACCCTAAACCCTAAACCCTAAACCCTAGCCCAAAGCCCAAGCTTGGGATTTGGGGTTTCGCATGACGCTGAGGCGACTGCCCTCCAGTGTAGTGGCTTGGGTGAGCGCAAAAAAGAGTGCCAGCAGCCCAGAAGCTTAAACCCCGAAGCCCTATCAGCCTCAAACCCTTTAGGGTTGGGGGTTTGGGGTTTAGGGTTTGGGTTTAGGGTTTGCATCGTAGGAACCCTACTCCAAAATAGGCCTATGGATGTCAGCACTCTCGACTTGTATTGCAGGATGAGTTGCACCAACAATCAGGGGCTCTCCGTTCTGATCCGTCTCTACGGGCCCTACGCCCTTTTTCAACAAAAAGCCCGCGAGCCTTCCTCGTTTCTTGAAACTATTCCCCAGTGCACAGGGGGCGCATGAGCGTCGGCTTGAAAGAAGCCAGAATCTCACGATCCCTAGTGAATCCTTAGTGAATGCAAGCGAAGCCTTTTTGGGATTCTACTTTCTAGTGTCAGGTCTCGGTGCACAGATGTGCACAAGCACTTGCAAGTCGCAGCGCAGAAGCTGGGTCCAAGAATCGCACAGTGTAGGTCGGGGCCAATGGCCGAGGTTGGGCAGTGCTTTGCGGTGCTTGCATGGGGCGAGCGCTCGAACTCGCCGTGTTCATCGAGCTGACGGTGCTCGGGCCCGTATGTGGCCGCCTCTCGATCGAGGGGGACCACCTTGTCCTCAGCAGCCCCATCGCAAAGCTCCGAGATGGCGAGCGGCCAGTGTTGGACATTCCCGTGCGCGCAAAAGTCCTGATCGATGTTGGGACTCATAGAGATTCGACCTTCCTCTTGCGGCTGCAAAACGACCCGGCAGCATGGGTGATTGGCTTCGAGGCCGACTACCTCCACTACGCGCACCATGTAGTGAAGCATTCGCATCCGCGGATGATAATGGTCAACGCGGCAGTGGGGGACAGCTCTAGAGGCTGGTCAACATTCTATCGCTGGGCATATATGGGAAAGGATTGGCGCTTCAACAGTGGCGATGCGACACAGCTTGGTTCGCTGCTTCGTGCTGCCGACTGGGGAAAGCTTGAGGCGCACGAGGAGATGCAAGTGGCTGTTGTGCCGCTGCGGGACATCCTGATCCTGGTGCCAGATCGGGTGCAAATCCTGAAAGTCGATGCCCAAGGTGCGGATTTGGAGGTGGTGAAATCAGCTGGCGACCAGATCGAGCGCATAGATCGCATTGTCATTGAGCTTCCGTACGAGGCACACACCACGACGTACTCTGACCAGCACGATGCGGACGATGCCGAGGGCTACTTGGAAAGCATAGGTTTCCACAAGGAGCGGTGCTGGTCGGTATCTCACCTGGAGCAAGACTGCGCCTTTGCACGCCCGCACGTTTGGATGAACCTGCCATCGGAGTTCGACTGCTTCCCAAGGAATCGGAGTGACTTTCTGTTCGAGGCGTTTCGTGATAACATTGACCACGTATGCCGAACGAGGCGGTATGGCTGCGCCAACAGCACTCCATCACTTGAGGGCAAGCGACTGTGGATAAGCATATTCTGCTGTTCCAGGCCAGTACTCCCAGTTAACCTACTTTGTTGGTGCAGGTTGGCCCTACACTCCAAACATCATGTAGCCCCTTGCAAGGCTCATGCCCGACCACGTTTGCTTCGATCGGAGGCGCTTGCACGTGTGGCGTGCCTGGGTTAGCTTTCGGCAGCGCTCAGCAGGTGTCTCGTTGCGTCGTTCAGCGAGTCGTCAGGCCGAGCTACTCCTACGAGACGTGCTGCCTCCCGCACTACTTGAAGTCCATTGGCTATCCGAAGCCGGGCGCCCTTGAAGTGCTGTGCCGTGTCGCGAGCGCCTGGTGCTGACATGTTGTAGGCAGCTGCTACCCACTGCCAGGCCTGGCCACGTCGTGTGATGGTGCTGGAGCACCTGCCAATACTCAGGCTCCTGGTTCAGTCTTGGATCACAACCTCCTTTAAAGGCCCCAAGCTCTATGAGATCCTAAGCCCTAAGCCGGCCCCCTTGGGCAAAGTAACCACGTTCCCATGTCTGCTCGGTGAAGACTGAACTCTGAAGCCTTCCGTTGGCACAGGGGGGTTTCATGCGAGGGGGGCCTTCGCGAATCCCTCGTCGAAATCAGGCTTTGCTGTGAGCTTCGTGGGTTTTAGGGCGTAGGGCTTAGGCCGTGGGGGGAATCAGGGAAGCCCTGACTGAAGAATCATCCCTGCACCCGAAGTTGAACCCTTGTTTTTTTCTTCCTAAGTCCGAAACCTCTCGTCCCACTTGAGGAGGCAGCCAAACCAGAAACAGCTTGTGGGAGTGTCCGACACTTAGGGCTTGGGGCTTAGGGCGTGCTCTCCTAGAGACGTTCCTACAAGGATGCTAGCATTCTGGTGGATACAAGGTGTGGGCAATGGCCCCATAGGATTCTATCAGGGGTTCCCCTGGCTTGAGCAAACCTAAGCCCAAAGACTCATGGTATTTTCCTGTGAGCTTAGTGCTGCTAGACCCCAATCCTTAACCCTCATACCGCATTCATACCCTCAATACCCTCAATACCCTCAATACCTTCAATACCCTCAATACCCATTTCTGCTGCTGTAGCTTTGTACTTTTGAGGTTCGCTTGAATACGACGATGCGTGGCTCAACTTCTCAAGTCGTCTCACACCACATGCATACCCAGGGCAAAGTTTGGGTTCCGCCCTTACCTGACCCTTTGCAACATCTTGAGACATAGGTTGTAGGGGGTTGAGGGTCAAAGTTTTATAGGGTATCAGGGTTTCCTTAAAAGCCACCTTGAGACAAGGACACAAACAAAAATGTGGTTCTCGGGTTTTTGCGCAGCGTCAGGGGCCCCAGACAATCTGAAGGCATAGGAAACTCTTGTACCACCCTGGCAGCCATGACAGCGTCACCAGAAAGTGCGCGACCCAAGTCCATTTGTTTGTTGGGGTTTAGGGTTTTGTAGGGTTTTCAAGGTGTTGTGGGCTTTGGGCTTTGGGCTTTGGGCTTTGGGCTTTGGGCTTTGGGCTTTGGGCTTTGGGCTTTGGGCTTTGGGCTTTGGGCTTTGGGGTTTTGGGATTGGGTTTGAGGGTCAGGGGTTTAGGGTTCAGTTATAACTGACAGCTTCCTTGGTTTCTCTAAAAGCCATGAAGCTCCTGTAAGCCTTAAGCCCTGCATTTTTCCCAAGAACTCCATGTCTACTGCCCTTTTGAACCCTAAACCCTAAACCCTAAACCCTAAACGCTAAACGCTAAACCCTAAACCCTAAACCCTAAACCCTAAACCCTGAACCCTAAACCCTAAACCCTAAACCCTAAACCCTAAACCCTAAACCCTAAACCCTAAACCCTAAACCCTAAACCCTAAACCCTAAACCCCAAGCTCAAAAGTCCCGAAGGCCGAGGCAATTGAGCCAGAACACTTAACGTTCCCCCTTCTTCTTGCAGCCCTTCATAGGGAGGTTTAGGGTTTAGGGTTTAGGGGGGGATGTGCCCCGCAGGCGCATCGGCGATGGAGGTGCTGCAGAAGGACTACCAGGCGCGTGGGCCGTGTGGGGGTGCGGGTTCTTAGGCCACCTCGAGTGCTTTGGCTGACCTGTGAGGCCCCAAGCTACGGGGGGCAACTTCTTGTTGCAGACACATGTTGGGGGGGACTTCCTACGTCAGGGCCTTTTGGAGGTGGCCATGGTTGCACGAACCCTTAGATTCTAGGGCCCCAAGTAGGGACCTCGAATTTTTCGGGGTTAGGACCATGGATGGCCCTACACACCCAAAACCCCAAATCCCAAACCCTCAGCCCTAAACTCAAGCGCCAGGATACCATCATTGAGCTCACGGGCAAGAAGAAGGAGATAGTGGAGCCAGGGCCTCCGCTCATTTTCGTGGAGGGTGGTCCACTCGAACGCGCCCTTAAGCGCAGGGGAGTTTAGGTTTCAGGGTGCAGGAGTTAGGGTGCAGGGTTTAGGGTGTCAGGGCCAGGTTTTAAGGGTTTATCGTTGAGTCCTAAGCATGAACTGGGTACCTTGCTTGACAAAGGGGTATTGGGCTCTTGGGATGCACCCAATGCCCTAGACCCGAAGCCCCAAACCAGAACTTGTTTGCTTAAACGTCCGAATTCGGAAGCCGCAAGCCTATATTTCCACAACAGTTTAGGGCCTATAAATCCAAAAGCGCTGATTTTACGGGCAACTGTAGCTGGGGTGTTACGTCGGATATCCCTGGTTGAGACCATAGTTTGGGGTACGGCCTTACTTTACAACATCTTTTCAACGCCCATGAACCCACAAGTAAACCCCTAAGTCCTACACCCTAAGCCCCTAAGCCCTAAATCACGCTAGCCCCCAAACCCCTGAACCCCCAAGCCCTAGACCCTGAAACTCCAAGACCCTACAGGCCCTACACAGTACGCCCTGCACCTTGAAACAACCAAGTCAATGGATGAAGTCTCGTTGTCTAAGGTTGTGCCCCTAAAGGTTTCCCTGCATCTACACTTACCATGGGGCCGAAGGATCTTAAAAAAGGGGTCCCCAGAACCGAAGGGTACAACCTTACTAGACTAAAGCCGAATTCTCCAAAGCCTGGAGCAGCCCCGTCTTTCCAGCCCCTTCCGGCTCGAGTATGAGAAGCTCTACAAGGTGTGAGGGGTCAGGGGTGAGGGGTTAGGGTTTGGGGTTCAGATGGTCAGTTCTCAACATGATGGTCCATTTTCGGGTTTCGGGTGCCCTAAATATAGGCTGCCTTACAAAAACCCCAAAAGAGATCATCATCTAACAGAAGCAACCAAGTCGGTCTGGAGTTCACGGTCTCAGGTCTAGGGCTTGGGTGTAGAGTAAAGGTTTTCGAGCAAATCTCCGCCCCCCACCCTCCTGTGCCGATACGTTTTAAGGGTATCAGGCTCCGAACCCCAGGTGCCGCACCCGAGGTTCCAGCTAGGGGGTGAGGGAGCAGAAGCCTGACAAGCCTGACTCGAAACTCGTTCGGGGGCTTTGGCCCAGGTTTTGCAGGTGCAACTCGTCTCCTGGCCCTGAGCCCTCACTCCTGGGCCCTATGGGCCCCTTAGACCCTGAAAACCATGAAATCCTCGAAGCCTGCAAGATCATCTTCAAGCCCGACATCTCACATGCCCCCAGACCTTGCGCCCTATACCCGAAAGACCCCCCCCAAGCGCAGCTCTGCAGCCTTGGGGGTCTTTCTGGGGATGTGTCAGGTGCTCAAGAGCCACCCAAAGCCTGCGAGGTCATTGGGCAGACCTTAGACTCGAACCTCTCCAAACACAACCCTTGAAGTTGATCGCAATCCTTCTGAAAATCCTCCTTGAACTTCAAAACCCCCCCGGAGCTCCCCTCAGAAGTCCCCAACCCTCGCAGGCGCTCATGCGCTCGCACGAAGCGGAGAAGCTTGGTGCCTGGATGCTTTCCCGGGGCCTTTGGGGGCCCCGGGGCTGGGGCTTAGACTGGTTTAAGGGTTTGAGGATTGTGGTAGGGTTTTGGGATTTAGGGTTTGGGGTAAAGGGTCGAATTGGTTGAAGGGTGAGGATTTTAGCGTTTTAGGGTTTCGGTGTTCCACGGAGGTTCAGGGTATTTTTTGGGTATTGTATCGGGGAGACAGCCCTTAGTCCTTCGACTCCAAACCTTGGGATCTTCCCCCTTATATTAACAGTCCTTAATCGGGATTATGGTACCCCCTGTTATATATATATATAAGCATATATATATGTATATATATATATATATATATCTGTATATCTAAAAATAAAAAAATAAACAAATATGAATATATATATATATATATATATATATGTATATATGTATATATGTATAATCCTATTAAGGACTGTTAGAAGAAGTGGGAACATCCCAACCCAAACCCGAAACCTCAAAGGCGTCTCACCAAGAAGATCCGTGACCTGAACACGGAGATTAGCACCAGCGTGGGGGCCCCAAGGTTCAGGGTTTGGGATTTAGGGTTCAGGGTTTAGGGTTTAGGGATACAGGGTTTGGGCGATTATGGTTAGGGTTTAGGATAAGTTTTAGGGTTCCGGGTTCAGGAGTTAAGCTTTTGGCTTTGGATTCAGAAGTGAGATTTGATCCGAACGCCTTCTCGAGGCAAAGACTCCCAAACTCGGGTGTGTTGAGTTCAGGGTTTACGATTTAGGGTTTGGGATTAGGTTTTAGGGTCTAGGGTCATTTGTGTCCATCCTTTTTCAGGTGTTTAAACCCCCCGCAAATCCCTAAACCCTAAACCCTAAGCTCTAAACCCTAAACCCTAAACCCTCGACCCTAAACACCGGTTTTGAGAGTCTTGCCTCGAGCAGGTGTTCGGTTCAATGCCCTCACTTTCAAGACCCTTTGCAGATCTTGGGGGGCCCTACGCAAAGGATGCATGTCGCCTTCGTAACCCCTGGCTCCAAACCTTACAGCCTTAAAGCCTCAAGATCTTGAAGCCTCAAAGCCTTAAAGCCTTAAACCTTAAAGCCCCAAACCCCCAGACTCCAAACCCTGAGCCTTATGGAGGCGGGAAAACCCCAATCTTTGAGCCCTAAGTCCTATGCCCTGTGCCCTAAACCCTAAACCCTAAACCCTAAACCCTAAACCCTAAACCCTAAACCCTAAACCCTAAACCCTAAACCCTAAACCCTAAACCCTAAACCCTAAACCCTAAAGCCTAAACCCTAAACCCTAAACCCTAAACCCTAAACCCTAAACCCTAATCCTTTCTGTAAGCCTTCGCAGCTCCCGAGGCGCAGAACGTGCAGACCGCCCTCAGCACGGCGGCGGAGGATCAGAAGCAGATGGCCAGCTTGAGGAGCTGAGGGCTTAGGGTTCCAGGGGGTTTAGGGTTTAGGGTTTGGGGTTTAGGGTTTAGGGTTTAGGGTAGTTTTGAGTAGGCTGACGGTTGTTTTTTTGTGAGTCTAGGGTTTAGGGTGAGGTTCGGTCTGCAGGTTGTAGGCCTTAGGGCTTGTAGGAGCTAGGGTTGAGCGTTGGCGGGTTCTAGGCTTTGTAGGGTTTGTAAACGTTCCAGGGGGGTTTAGGGTTTAGGGTTTAGGATTTAGGGTTTAGGGTTAAGGGTTTAGGGCTTTTAGGGTTTAGAAGGGAAGGGTTCCAGGTCTTTTGTAGGGTTTGTAAACGGGCCTGCAATGCAAGGGAAGGGTTCAGGTCTTTTGTAGGGTTTGGGGTTTCAGGCCTGGGGGACGGTAGTGCTGGCTTTGTGGAATGTGGTGCAGTCTCATGTCCTAGGCTGACTGCGGACGTAGAAAACCCCAAAAGGACTACAAAATACCATCAAACCACCATAAGCCTCGAAGCCCTAAGCCCTGAACCCTGAACCATAAACCGTAAATCCCACATCCCCAACCCTAAACCCTAAACCCCCTAAACCCTAAACCCCAAACCCCAAACCCGACACCCCAAACCCTAAGCCCAGCCCCTCAGCCTGACGTGCGCCAGGCAGGAGATCCAAGCGAAGCAGCAGCAGATCGAGGAGACGAATCGGAAAGAGGAGCAGGCCCGCGCCGCTGTAGGGGATCTCGGGGGATTTCGATTTTTTGGGGTGTGGGGGACTCAGGGTTCGGGGACGTAGGGGACTTAGGGGATTTAGGGCTCCAAAGATGAATCCCCTAACCCTAAGCCCCCCCTCTCTGAGCACCTCAAAGGCTGAAACTCCTGCCATGTGCTCCTTATCAGAAGCCCTGAACCCTAATTGAGGGTTCATGGGTAGCTTTAGGAAGGGCTGTAAGGCATTCCCAAGCAACTTCAGAACGAGAGTCATCCTACTTTTGTCTGCCCCAAAGCCCTGAACCCTAAACCGAAATCCTACTGACGTTCCTACTTATGACTGTTCTAAACAGGAAGCCGCCAAGCCCTAGAACCTAAACCCTAAACCCCAAACCCTAAACCCTAAACCCTAAGCCCTAAACCCTAAACCCGAAACCCCAAACCCCAAACCCCAAGCCCTAAACCCTAAACCCTAAACCGCAGGCCAAGGAGACCATCAGCAAGCGAAAGAATGAGATCGAAGACTTGATCTCGAGGTGCCACGGGCTCTAGGGCTGAGGGTTGCCCGAAGCCCCTAAACCCAAACCCTGCGCTCGGAAAAGTTTGACTATCGAGGGCCTGGGCCGGGTTGGGGGATGCAGGGGGCTTAGGGGGTTTAGGGTTTGTGGGAGTAGAGGGTATTTAGGCCCTGGTTCGTAAGGTTTGTAGGGTTTTAAACTGCAGGGTTTTATAGGGTTTGCTTTTGTTCAGGGTTTACGGCTTTGGGTGTACTGGAAGCAAGCTTAGATGATGGCTTGTCTCAAAGGAGAATACTTTTTCCATGTCACCACCTTTTTGCTTATGGAAACCGTGATGAGGTAGACTTAGTTTGTCCTCTCCATGGCTCGCAAAAGACTTCCACTTAACGGCTTTCCCCCCCAACTCCCAACTCCCAATCCGCCTTGCAAGGCCTCAGTGAAAGAAAGCCAAAGCCCCTCTAAGCCCCAAACTTTGGGATCTTCCCCCTTCTACTAACAGGACTCTGATCTGGGGGGTACTGGAACCCTATTAAGGGCTGTAAGGATAAGGGGAACATCCCAAACCCAACCAAACCCCAAGCCCGTTGCAGGATAGAGCAAGGCGTTGGCATGTCAGAGGAGCAGGAGTTTCAGCCGGGGCCTCAGAGCTTTGCATGCAAAACCCTGAAGACCTCCAGGTTTTTGGGCTGTTGAGGGACCTTCAAACAACCACACTCCAGGGCCGAATTTGCTGCAGGCCTCGTGGGCCCTTTGGGGTGGGGGCTTAGAGAGCAGCCCGACCTCTCCATTGAACATCAGTCGCCATCTTTAGCTGCTGTGCCTACGCCAGCCAACCGGGAGGGGGGGGGGGCCAGGGCCTCTTCCAGCAGTGATTCCAAGGCTCAACCAGCTCGCTGGCCAGAAGGCTCGCAAGCACAACGCCCTGTGCTCGAGCGCTTGAAGGTATTCAACTCCCAAAGAGCTGTGCAGGGAGAGGGAGACAGGGAGAGAGTGTGCTCCAGGGTTGTCACATAGACGCAGCGCAGGAAATCGGTGGAAGGGTGGAACGCCTGCACCCCTATGTCTTCCCAAAACTCCGAAGCCTAAAAGCCCAAAAACTCCGAACCCTAAACCCTAAACCCGAAACCCTAACCCTAAGCCCACATCCCCTCAACCCAAACGAGCATTGGCAGGAGCAGCTGGACAAAGACAAGGAGCTCCTAAGACAGAACACCGATATGCTGCAGAGGCGCGTTCCTTGGTTTGGCGCCTTATGATTGTTTTAAATAGTAATAGAAATAATAATAATTATATAAATAAATAAATAAATATATAAATAAATAAAGAAAAAACAAATAAGAAGAATAAGAAGAATGATCAAGATCATTAGTTTTATCGCGACTACTTTTTTTACATATGTTTTCGTAGGCTTTAGGTTAATGCTTTCGGTTTTTAAGGCTTTCAGAAGGCGAGCCGGTGTTTGGGCTTCGGGTCTGAATCCCAGCTGGGGGGGGCGAACTCTTCCAGCCTTGCAGCCCTCAGCCTTCCACCCGAGTCTGAACCCAAAGCCCGCAACCCCCGAGTCCCAGATCCCTAAGCCCCCAAGGCCCTGAACCCCTAAAACGCCAGGTCCAAGAACCCCTAAAACCCCAAGTCCCTGAACCCTCAACCCTAAAACCTCCCCAACCTCCTTAAACCCCCCAAAAGCCCCTCAACTCCTGCGAGGATCACACAGGGCCGGCTGGACGAGGTGCTTCGGGGGGCTTGGGGGGCTTCGGCGGCTCTTGGGCTTCCTCTTTCAGCAAAGGGGTGTGGAGTTCAGGTGTAGGGCTGAGAGGTTTCTGGGGTGTTCAGGGTCGAGAGCTAGAGGCCACTGAGTCCGAAGGGTGTGGAGGGTTTTGCGAGCTTTGTGGTGGAGCTCGAGCCCCCTCCCCCAATCAAAGAATAGGGTGATTCATTCTTTTTCTTTTTTTTTTGGGGGGGGCGGGGGGGCTTTAGGGCTTCGGGTGCACGGTTCAAGTCTTTAAAGCATCTCCCGCATAGGGGTGCCGCAAGAGGATGCTGCAAAGCCTCTAATCTGCCTCGAAACGCAGGAACTACCATCCTAAGCGCTGAACCCACAAATTCTCCCTAAACCCCAAGTCCTACCGCTGAACCCTGCCGAGGTCCAGCACCTGGAAAAGTCCCTGTCGGAGGCCGAGGCGCTTGGCGGTCCTAGGCCCTATCACCAAATCCCTAAACCCTAAACCCTAAACCCTAAACCCTAAACCCTAAACCCTAAACCCTAAACCCTAAACCCTAAACCCTAAACCCCAAACCCTAAACTCTGAAACCCGCCCCTTGGCTTCAGGGCCCTATTTTTGGTGGCCTAATTGTCAAGAACGACTGGTACGAGGGTTCAGGGGTTCGAGCTTCTAAGAGGAACGGTCTAGGCCTCAAACCCCTTGCTCTGAGTTTTCGACTCCCTGCCTTAAACCCCTCCAAACCATGCCGCCCTGCAAGGGGCAGATCTTGGTGATGAAGGAGAAGATTGCGGAGAAGCGCGGTGAGGTGGGCCTGGCTTTCAGTCCGAAACCCCCTTGGGCCCCAAGAGCTTCATAGGTGTCCTCTGTGTCCCAGAACGCCGAATGCTTGATACAGATTTGCACCTTGAGATGTTCCCCCTTATACTAACAGCCCTTAATGGGGATCACAGTACCCCCTGTTATAATCCCTTTCAAGGGGGGGACATCCCCAATTACACCTTCCTGACGTTAATTCAGGGTATATTGTGTGACTGGGGGGTATGGGGCTCTCGGGGAAGCAAGGCATCTGACATGCCGAGAACCCCAAACGGTTGGAGGCCGTCACATCAGCAGTCACTGGCAGAAGTGCCGGGAGTTCCCCAGACCCTAAACCCCGAACTCTTTAACCCTTCAGCCCTGAGCCCGAACACTGAACCATCCTAAACCCAAACCCGAAGTTTCCTTTAGCCCCAAACCCTGAACTCGAAAACCCCTAAGCCCCTAAACCCCGAAAACCCTCTTAGGCCCTTTAACCCCTAAAGCCTTAAGACCCTAAAAGCCCCTCTTTAAACCCTTGCTTGAACCCTGAAATCCCCTAAGCCTTTAAACCCTTCAACTTCTACAATCCTTAAAGCCCTCTGGGCCTCCAAAGGCCTTCAAGCCTCTAAACCCTCAAAACCCCTAAACCTTCTAACCCTTCAACCCTTAAACCCTAAACCCTACGAAGAGCCCTAAACCCCGAAACCCTACAACCCTTACAGCCCCTGAAGCCCTTCAAGCCCTTCTGTAGAGAGCGCCAAGAAAAATGGCTCCCCCCCTTCCCCCCCGTTCCCCCCCCCCTTTTTCCCCCCTGCAGGTGGAGGTGGCCAAGCGGCAGAAGGATGAGTTGGAGCAGAAGATGAAGGACGGCAGGTGTTTCACAGATGGTTTTGGGGCTTGGGGTTTGGGGGTTTAGGGTTTAGGGTTTGGGGTTTAGGGTTTAGGGGTAGAAGGGTTTGTTTTTTTTTTGTTTCGGGGGGGTGGGGGGCAAGTGGTTTTAGAGCCTGCAACCGCGCGAACCCCAAACCCTTCAAGCCTTAAACCTTCAGCCCCTCACCTCCACACCCTGGGCCCAGAGGCCCCGAGCATCACTGTTCTATCGGTTCTTGCAGGCTCATGGGTCTTACTTAACGGGTCTAGGGTGTGGTCAGGGTATCAGGGTTTGGGGTGCAGGGTTCCTTCTACTTCATCGTTCATGGATACCTATGATATGGGTTCTAAGCAGGGTAGCTGTATTCAGAAACCCTAAACCCAACCCTGCCTGGAGCCATCAATGAGCCTTCAAGTAGCCGCAGAGTAGCCTCAAGCACAAGCCATGGTAGTTGCAATCCTAAACCCTAAACCCTAAACCCTAAACCCTAAACCCTAAACCCTAAACCCTAAACCCTAAACCCTAAACCCTAAACCCTAAACCCTAAACCCTAAACCCTAAACCCTAAACCCTAAACCCTAAACCCTAAACCCTAAACCCTAACACCTAAACCCTAAACCCTAAACCCTAAACCCTAAACCCTAAACCCTAAACCCTAAACCCTAAACCCTAAACCCTAAACCCTAAACCCTAAACCCTATTGTAGAAAGCACCCTAAGCCCTCACTCTGGTGAACCCCCTAGGGTACTGGAATCCCTATTCAGGACGGTTCGGAAAGCCTAAACCCTCAACTCTCTATAAACCCTTTCAAGCCCCCCCCCCCATAAGCCAGGACCTGCGCGAGGAGAACGACCAGAAGCAGGAGGAGCTGGCGGCCGCACGGAGGCCTCCCGGATCCCGCCGAGCCCGGTGCAAGAACCCCTTTAGTATGATTGCTCCTTTGATGATGAAGATGATGTTGATGATGATGATGACGATGATGACGATGATGATGATGGTGATGATGGTGGTGGTGGTGGTGATGATCATTATGGTTGTTAGTCTTGTTGCTACTACACTTTGTTTGTTTTTACTTTTGTTGACGGCAATCATCACTCTTAGCCCATTGCTTCCTTAGCCTGAGCTATTTTCTAGAGCCTTTTCGTGCACACCACCAGACACTAAACGCTAACAGCCCTAAACCCTAAACCCTGAAACCCTAAGCCCTAAACATCTATACCCTGAACCCGAAACCCTAAACCCCTAAACCCCTACACCCCTAAACCCCTAAACCCTAAGCCGCAAACTCCCAGAGTGGTGAGGAACATCGCCACGGAGCAGGCCGAACTCCGAAAGATCCAGCAGGCCGTCGCGGTTTTAGGATGTCGGGGCTGGAGGGTGCTAGGGGTTTTGGGTTTCGGGTTGAGGGCCCTCAAACCCTAAATTATATATTCTTAAAACCTGGATCCGAAACCCTAAGCCCTAAGCCCTAAACCTAAACGCTAAGCCCTAAGCCCTAAGCCCTAAAATTGTTGGGTTTAGAACGAACCAAGACTCCCCTACAGGTCCAGGGGCCTTCGTGAACTCTTGGAGCCTTATGGGGCTTCAGGGCTGTTGGGGAGCTTACGGGCTTTAGGGTTCTGGGGCCCGCCATGTGGAAATTGATGTATTTAGTGATGGCTGGGGTTTAGCCTTGCTTGGGGTACACCCCCCCCCCCCCCCCTATGTAGTCCGACTTATCACAACCCACGTAGCTCTGCTGCAAGCACTTCAAAAAACTTCAAGGTTTTGGGTTTCAGGATCCAAGTTTCGGAGTTTTGGGTTTGAGGTTTGGGGGTTTTGGGGTGTTGGGGTTTCGAGGTTTTCGGATTGAGGGAGTGGTTTATGGGATTTCGAGTTCGGGCTTGCAGTTCCCTAAGCCTCAGAAGCCCTGCAGCCCCAAACAAACCCTTAACCTTGAACTACATAGACTCTAAACCTTCAAACTTACACAAACCCCTCGTCTTCTGCCAGGCTGTGGCCGACACGGAGAAGGAGGAGGAGCGGCTGGAAAGGCGAGCTCTCAGGGCCTTGGGGGGCAGAGATTTCACAGCCCAGGAACTCAAGGGTTCTTGGGGTTCTTGCTGGGTTCTTGGGTTTCAGAAATTTGGGGTTTTGGGGGGGGGGGGGGGGGTTTTAGGATATTTTACATTCCTCGTGTACTGCATTTTCAATGTCAGTGGTGAGTGGGAGGGTCCTCTCTGAAGGAGTTAGGATCCAACCAGGCGGGTCCACCAGCGCATGGACGAGAAGCGTAAGCTGGAGGAGAAGTTGGAGCAGGCGGGTGGGGGGGGGGGTGGGAGTGGTTCGGGGGCTCTTGCTTCTGGGGGAAAAAGCTCGCTCAGGGCAACATAAAAAAGCCCCGAACCCTGAACCTTAAATCCCAAACTCTAAGTCCTGAAGCCTAAGGAGTACTTTTTCGGGGGCAGGTTGTGGGTCGTACTATTCCAGGCCTCCCGAAGCCCCGAATCCCCAACCCCGAGCCATAAACTCTAGACCCCAAAAGAAGCAAATCTTGGTTGCAACCCCGACACCCCAAGCATCAAGCTGACTCGCTCCCCCCGTTGTCAGGAGCAGCACAAGAACCAGAAGTTCGCGCAGGAGCCCATGGGGGCTGCGCGCAGGTTTCAGCGCCTACGTCCTCGAGCGCTGAAGCGCTCCACTGCGAAGCCTCTCTGAAACCCCTAAGCCCCTAAGCCCCTAAACCCTGAAGCCAGGAGAGCGAGGACAAGGAGCGTCTGTTGAAGGGGCGGAGGCACCGGGCTGTTTAGGGTTTGGAAAGGCTTCGGGGGGTTTTGAGTCTTGCCACCCCAGACCCTCAAAACCCCATAAAGCCTCAGTAGTGCCGAATCTGCGCCAGGGACGAGCTGCAGCGGACGCGGAAAGAGAAGGAGAAGGTGATCAAGGCGTACGAGGTGCGAGAAGTGCTCACTGACCCGTCTACCCCAAAAAAAGGTGAGGGGAGATCTTAAACTACAGACCTTGAGGCTTCTAAGTTTCGGGTTTTTGATCCCAAGCCGAAGCCCCAACCTGGAAACCCCTAACCCCCAATCCCCCCCCCCCTCCTTTCTGTCTTCAGGTCCTGAAGAAGAAGGACAAGGTCACCGAGGAGGAGCGCCAGTCGAGCGAAGGTCCGGATCCCCCAGCGGGTTTGCGTGTTTCGTGTTAGGGATTGAGGGCTGAGGGGTTGAGGTTAGGGTTCAGGGGCTCAGGGAGATGTGGGGCTTAGGATTTAGGGGTTTGGGGTGTAGGGTTCAAGGCCTCGGGACTTAGGGGCTTTGACGGTTTGCGGTCTGAGGGCGCTGGAGGTTTTGGGGGGGTTCGGGATGTTAGCATGTGTAGGTGGTAGGGTTTAGTGAGGATTTAGGGTTCAATGTTTAGGGTAGTAGGGTTAGAGGATGCAGGGCTTGGGTGTTTGAGCTCAGGGGTTCAGTGTTTCAGTGTTCGAGTTTTTTGTTGTAAATATGTTTCTTTTTTGAAGTCTTGAGGTTTTTTTATTTTTTAAGGCCTTGAGGGGTTTAGGTTTAGGATGGTTTAGGGTTTAGTGGCTTGCTTTTGCTTGGCCACTCTTCTCCCCATGCCTTCAACGGTCCTTAACCCTAAGCACCTAACAGCCCAGGTAAGCGCAACGAGCTCAAGTCCGAGGTGAAGAATCATCAGGCGCCCCTCTAGCACTAGACCCCAAACCCTAAACCCCAAACCCCAAGCCCCAAATCCTAACCCCCAAACCCCGCACCAAACCCCAAACTCCAAACCCCTAGCCCTAAACCCCAAGCCCCACCAGCCCTGAGCCCTAGACCCCTAAACCCCCAAAACCCCTAAACCCTTCACCTTTGCGAGTTCGGAGCAGCTGTGGAACCCGAGTAGCCCGGAGAGATTTTGTAGGGTTTCTAGGCTACCCCAAGCCCACCCCAGTGAGAGGGCCTAAATGAAGCCTCCCTTGGCCGGTTTGGGCTTGCAGCGCTTTGCTGGAAGGTGGTAGGAGAAGATTCTGTCCTGTGGGGAGTGTTTAGGCTTGGGCTCTGAGGGCACAAAGGGGTCAAGGTTGAGGGTTCAATGGAAGAGGTCAGTTCAACCCTAAAGCCCTAAAAATACCTACTGTCTACACTAGTTGCAAGTTGCCACCTGCTTTGGCGACGTTCCGATGCCTCGGACCCTCAACCTTTCGCCCTAAACCCTATCACCCAGTTCAGCCTTCCACAGGAGAAGGCGGAAGTTCTCAAGCGAGATGCGGACGTCGACAGGAAGAAAATTGAGGACCTGGCATTTAGGCTACACATCAAGTGTATCTCTTGAGCCGGTTGAGACCTTTACCCTGATCCCGAAACCCCTAAGTCCTAAAACCCAAGAATCTAATAGTTTAGTTATATATAAGGGTTTCTGCCTCCATCCACAAGAGGGTGCCGAAGCCCCGATTATCCCCCGAACTGCTTAACCCTAAACCCTAAACCCGAAACCCTGAACCCTCACCGCGTAAATCCGTAAGCCTCGGAGTCCCTGGAGACACGCAAGCCGTTTAGGCTTCAGGGCCTACTTGGAGGTTGCAGGGTGGTTCGAGCTGTCCAAAGCATAGTGCACATCTAAGTTTCGAGGCTCCTCTCCCCGTTGCTGCTCTGCAGGACCTGCTGCGGGAGCGGGACATCCTGAACAAGAACGTCGTCAAGGCGGGCAGGGTTCTTGTCGGCACTTCTGGAAATCGGTGAGGGCGCCGGTGCTTGGGTATCGTGACCGCTTGCCCCCCCAAAATCGTCACCACTCGATGCTGGAGGCCGATGAGCGCACCAAGAAGCAGATCGACTTGGTGAAGCGCCAGGACGGGGGTGTGTGTGCGCCTAAGCTCTCTAAACCCGGAATTTTGGTGTTCTCTCAAGGTACCCTACGTTTAAGCTTCCGTACGTTTGTATGAAGCCCCCCCAAAAGGGACCATGATTTCGAGAAGTGCCCTCCTTTTCACGGGTTTCTCAGGCCTTCCAAGTCGTCTGTGATGAAACCCTAGACCCAGAGCACCCCATATATAAACCCTGAACCCTAAACTTCAACACAGAAAGCCCGATTCCTCAACCCCTCTACCAAAAAATGTCCTGAAGCAACCCCCCCCCCGCTCCATCCCCCAAAACCTTGAAACCCTGAAGCCTCAAGCCCTAAAACCTTGGAAGTGTTTCGCCCTCAAGAGGGGGGCGTTGGGGCCTCTGAACCCTAAAGCTAATGCCTCGAAACCCTCCCAGGAGACCCAGTCGATGAACATGCAGAAGGATATCACTCGCTGGAAGCAGGCCTCGCACCCCATGGGGAGTCTCAGTCAGAGAGGGATCCCGTGGCCGACGGTGCAGAAGCCGAAGTGGTCACCCATCTTATGCCCCCCTTAAATGCTTCAAGCGCCACTGGGCCTGAAACCTTCCCCAAGCCCTAAACCCTAAACCCTAAACCCTAAACCCTAAACCCTAAACCCTAAACCCTAAACCCTAAACCCCAAGCCCCATTTAAACCTCGGTCGCAGGATGCGCAGGACTTCCAGAAGCGCATCATGGAGCTGGAGAAGCAGCGTGAGAAGTATGGCATCGAGCTCTCCCAGGCGCCGGGGGGTAGGCTTTATGGGGCTTTGGGCTTTGGGGTTTAGGGTTTAGGGGCTTTAGGGCTTTGGGGTAGAGGATCCAGGGCGAGAGAACACGTCGTAGAAGCACCCCGGATGGTGTTGAGCAAGTGTGATCAGAGTTTGTTTCTGTAACAAAAATGCTCGTGATCCGTAAAATGCAGCGGCCCCAAACCCAAAACGCCTCACCCTGAGAAACCCTGCAGTCTTCTCCAGGCGCAAGAGCCCTGACAGACCTGAACCCCAAAACCCTCACCCTACGATAGGCTTCACGGTTCAGGGTCCAGGGTTTAGAGAAAGCTCGTGGAATTTATGCCCTAAACCAAACCCTAAACCCTGAACCCTTAAACCCTTAAATCCTTAAACCCTTAAACCCTTAAACCCTTCAACCCTTAAACCCTTAAACCCTCAAACCCTTAAACCCTTAAACCCTTAAACCAATCCTAAAACCCTCAAACCCCCAACTTATGCCCCAAACCCTAAAACCCTAAGACCCTAAACCCTAAACCCTCAAACCCTTAAACCCTTAGACCCTTAAACCCTCAAACCCCCTACAACTCCCAGGCGAATGCCAAGTACTTCGCCTGCAAGGAGGAGCTGAAGAACCGCGCCGCCCTCGGGCGCTTCGGGATTTAAAAGTTCATTGGCGCATGGCCTTGGGGTTTAGGGTTTAGGGTTTAGGGTTTAGGGTTTAGGGTTCAGTGTGCTGGAGCAAGCTTGACCGGTGCCCCCTCCCATGCTCTTTCCACGGCAGCCATTTTATTGGAAAGCAGCAGCTTACGCATCTTCAGCTTGCCTTCTCAGCCTCGGGAAACATGGCCTGCCCCAAGAACCTCGAGCAGAGCATCGCTACCTCCGTGCGTCAGCACCTGAGCGTGGGAAAGGACTGCATGCAGCAGCAGTAGCAGGGCTCCATGAGGGAGCCCAGGAAAAGCCCGCCATGATCCAACATCTCTCTCTCTCTCTCTCTCTCTCTCTCTCTGTCTCTCGCTCTCTCTCTCTCTCTCTCTCTCGCTGGCTCTCTCTCTCTCTCCCCCTCCCTCCCTCCTACCCTCCCTCCTACCCTCCCTCCCTCCCTCCCTCCCTCCCTTGTTTCTCTTCATCGTTGACGGCAACTTGTTGGACATGACACACCGGTCATGTACTTTTCGGAAGTTTGGGGGCTTCAGAAGTCTTCTGGATAGTCAGTCTGATACTCAGAGAGTACAAGCCCCTATGCAGAAGCTGGAAGGAGCCCTCAACCCACCTGGACACATCTCCAGGACACCGCCACCTCGAAAGAGCTCCAGAACGCCTTCGAGCTCAGCGAGGAGTTCAGCCGCACCAAGCTCCTCGGCTGGTTCAGGGGGTGCTCCGGAGGACTTGGCCCTACATGGCCTTAGAGCGTCACAGCATATTCTAGTTCTAGTGTACCGACCCTTGGTTAAAGACGCCACAGTGGTTGTGAGAGTTTGCTGAGCCACAAGGCCATGACGCACACCCAAAACCGCCCCGCACCTTCTACCTTTGGTGCTTGCGAGATGGGGGAGGGGGAATCCGTGTTTGAAGCCTCAAGCTGTCGAGGTTTGACATTCTCGACCAGGCCTCCGACCTGGGCCTCGAGGCCTGTCTGGGTGTGAGCCGAGTCGGTTTTTTGAGGCAAGGGTCTGCGTTGCTGCCGTAACTCCGGCAGATTCGGCCCCCCGCCCTCCAGCCTTGCAGTCAAGCGCCCCGAAGACGATGACTTCATGCATCGCTCGCCCAGCAGCCACCCCAGTCCTAGAACGCTGAGCCCTTGATACAGCTCGCGAGGTGAAGGACATCTACTACAACGCCAGCCCTGCCGTCCTCTACGAGCAAGCCTTGCGTCATGAGGAGGGAGTCTCGGCCGCCAGGGTGTTCAGGGCTCGTCTGGCATAATGGGCTCACAGGCCTCTGGGATTCATTTTCGGGCTTTTGGGTTTACTTAAACGGTCCGCTAGTGTTTGGGGTTCAGGGTTTGGGGGGTGGGACGGGACTCGCGTCGACACTATTCACTGAAAGGGCTTGTACTCGAACGGCCGTAAACCTGAACGCAGAATCACGGTCACAGCTGAACGCCTTAGGCAGCTTCATCACCGCCTCGGGCGCCCTGTCGGTGACCAGCGGCAAGAAGACCGGGCGCTCCCCCAAGGACTTCGTGTAAAGCTGGAGGGCTTGCTCTCGCGAATCTTGTGGCGTGTTGTGGCGTGTTGTGGCGTGTTGTGGCGTGTTGTGGCGTGTTGTGGCGTGTTGTGGCCTGCGAGGACAAGCGCATCGTGGAGGAGCCCGACAGCGTGCGCGACATCTGGTGGGGGAAGGTCAACATCAAGCTCGAGGAGGCTGGGGCATGGATTTCCGGGTTGGGGGCTTTTTGTGGTAGCTTCGGCCAGGGGGATCCTCGCATTGCGAAGGCGTCGGCTCTCGCGTGATTCGCGCGTGCGCATGTGTGCGTAGCCTGGCTCGAGGCCGTCTTCGGCATCAACCGCGAGCGCGCGGTGGACTACCTGAACACGCAGAAGAGGCTTTACGTCGTGGACGGCTTCGCAGGCAGCGTCAGTGCAGCCTAGATCGTAACCTTATCCTTGCACCCTCGGCGCTTGACTGGCCCTGAGATAGGCTGGGACGAGGAGTACAGAATCCCCATCCGTGTCATCACGTCCCGGGCCTACCACGCCTTGTTCATGCAGAACATGCTGGTGTCGCCCTCGAAGTCGGAGCTCTACCAGTTCGAGGCCAACGCCTTTCCCAGGCCCTTCGTGATCTTCAACGCAGGCTGGGCAGGAGAGGGGCAGGGGCAGGGGCGCGGGGGGCGAAAGGCAGCAATGGAGACAGGCTGTAGCGGGAGCGCGTTCGGAGAGAAGTGCTGCATCAGTGTGGGGTTGTTCAGAGTCTAGGTGGTTTTTTGTTGTTGGCAGGTTGCTTCCCGTGCAATCGGCACACGGCCGGCATGACCTCCACCACCTCCGTGTCCCTGTCGCTGTGCCGGGGGGAGATGGTGATCCTCGGCACGCAGTATGCCGGGGAGATGAAGAAGGGTGTCTTTACGGTGATGATGTACCACATGCCCCTGCGACCCGAGCGGCACCTGTCCCCAGCGGAAAGGGCGCTGCCGCTGCACTCCTCGTGCAACGTGGGCCGCGAGGGCGACGTGTCCCTCTTCTTCGGGCTCAGTGGCACCGGGAAGACGACCCTCAGCGCGGACCCGGCCAGAAACCTGATCGGGGATGACGAGCACGTCTGGACCTCCAAGGGCGTCTTCAACATTGAGGGCGGCTGCTATGCCAAGTGCATCAACCTTTCACGGGAGAAGGAGCCGGAGATCTATGCCGCCATCCGCTTCGGCAGTGTGCTGGAGAACGTGGTCTTCGATGAGTGGAGCCGCAAGGTCGACTACGACAACGTCTCCCTGACGGAGAACACGCGGTGCGCCTACCCCCTGCACTACATCCCCAATGCACTGATCCCGGCCAAGATCGACACACACCCCAGCAACGTGATCCTCCTGACCTGTGATGCCTTCGGGGTGCTGCCGCCCATCTCCAAACTCACCAAGGAGCAGGTGATGTATCATTTCATCTCCGGCTACACCGCCAAGGTCGCCGGCACCGAGATAGGCGTCACGGAGCCGCAGGCCACCTTCTCGGCGTGCTTCGGCGGGCCGTTCCTGGCCATGCACCCTTACCACTATGCCGAGATGCTGGCTGCCAAGCTGGAGAAGCACGGCGGCCATGCCTGGCTGCTGAACACCGGCTGGGTGGGCGGCGCCTACGGCGTCGGCGAGCGGTGCCCGCTGAAGTACACGCGCCAGCTGGTGGACGCCGTGCACGACGGCACGCTGGCGGCCTTGGATGACGAGGAGTGGGAGCCCATGCCCATCTTCGGTCTCCGCATGCCCCGGAAGGCCGTGCAGGGTGTGCCCCGCGAGATCCTGTGCCCCGAGGACGCCTGGAGGCCCGGCCCATCTCTTTGTCCTGCCGTTGATGTTACGGGTAAGGCCCTCTCGAAAGCATGTTCTCTTGTTTGCGGTCGCGCGCCCCTGTGCCAGGTCCCGAGGCCAATCCTCCGCTGAGTTTTGGGCAGCGGCAAGCAAGCTGGCGTTGCTGTTCCAGAAGAATTTTGAAGAGTATGCCCCGCAGTGCCTTGCGGCTGTTGTACAGGCGGGCCCGCAGGCGACAGAGGTGGCCGGCGGCTACCCGTGAGGCCGGGCATCTATAGGGGCGATGTTTTATTTAGACGTTAGTGCAGGAGGCACGGATCAGCTTGAGGGATTCCCAGCGTTGCTGGCGCCCCGGGCTTGAGACACCCTGTTTGAAAGGCAGGATGTCGCCCGTGGTGTGGGCCATCCTTGAGCATAGGCTTTGCCCTCCCCCCCTTACTCGTGGCTGTTCCTGTGGCCTCCCGTGGAGATCTCACGATGCCCTTCTAGCTGCAAGGCTTCAAGCTTGCTCAGTCTTGAACTCACACAATCTGCCTTGGGCTCTAGGGGGCTTTTGGGCTCTAGGGTCTAGATGCAATGTTGAAAGTGCACAGGGTGAAATAGGGTTGCTGGAAGGGGCTTCAAGCTTTCCATGTGCTTGCGCTTGGTCACAGAGATGAAGGTCCAGGTAGACCATCGCAGGCCCTCTTGGGGGGGGCTGTCCGAAACGGCTGGCAGCTGACATACGTGCAAAAAACTCGGAGAGCCCCCCCATGTTTAAAAGTGTATGAAGACCCGGAGCGTCGCCTACGCAGACCTCCGGAGATCTTACAAAAAAAACTAAAGTTGAAAGCTTCTGCTTGGGGGTCCTTTGAATGCCTCGCAGAAACCGAGGGCTTAGCGCGCCGCCATGAAGACTTCGACTTCCGGCTGCTACCCTTGCGGAAAATGCGAGTTGTGCGGCCGCTCCAGTGGCTGAAGGCTTTCCCCCAAGAACCCGAACCTACACCCAAACCTGGGTGGCTGTTGAATCAAATTAGCTGTAACTCCGTGTCCTTACTGTGGTACCTTAAGCTCCTTCCTGAACAGCCCCCCTGCTTTCTCTGTGCTCAAGGTGGATCCACGCTGACCGAGCTGAAGAAGCAAATTGCGAACGTGGAGGTGGAGACTCCGGTGGGTTTGGGTACAGGGTGCTTGGGGCCAGAGGCTTCACGAAACCCTAAACATCAAGGGCCGCCTAAGTCAAAACCTCAGAGCCCATAAACCCTCACGCCCTACGCCCCAAACCTTGAACTCTAAACCCTAAAACCCTAAAACCCTACAACCCTAAAACCCTAAAACCCTACAACCCTAAAACCCTGCAACCCTACAACCCTAAAGCCCTAAAACCCCCAAAACCCGAAAACCCTAAAACCCTACAACCCTGCAACACTAAAACCCTAAAGCCCTCAAGCCCTAAAACCCTAAAACCCTCAAGCCCTAAAGCCCTAAAACCCTAAAGCCCTAAAACCCCTAAAACCCCAAAGCCCTAAAGCCCTAAAACCCTAAAGCCCTAAAACTAAAGCCCTAAAGCCCTAAAACCCTAGAACCCCAAAGCCCGAAGCTCTGAAGCCGAAGCCCGCACCCCTGAATGTCAGGAAGCTTGAGGCCCTTGGGCTGCCAGTTTTGAGGTTTAGGGTTTAGGGTTTAGGGTTAGGGTTTCAGGGTTCTAGGGTTTCAGGGTTTCAGGGCTCTAGGGTTCCAGGGTTGTAGGGTTGAAGGGTTTTAGGGCTTCCGGGTTTCAGCGTTTTAGGGTTTTAGGGTTCTAGGGTTCTAGGGTTCTAGGGTTGAAGGGTTTTAGGGTGTCCGGGTTTCAGCGTTGTAGGGTTTCCGGGTTTCAGCGTTGTAGGGTTTTAGGGTTTAGGGTTTTTAGGGTTTTAGCATGTTAAAGAGACCATTTGCTCACACCCAGCCCCGACACTTCAGAGGAACGCGCAGTTATAGGTGCCTTGTTTAAGGTTATAGTACGTTTGCCCTGCTTGTAACCATGCTAAGCTGAACGGAAACCACAAAGAAGGTGAGCCCTTGTAGGTTTAGGGTTTACCCCTAAACCCTAAACCCTAAACCCTAGACCTTGAACCTTAAACCCTAAACCCTAAACCCTAAACCCTAAACCCTACACCCTACACCCTAAACCCTAAACCCTAAACCCTAAACCCTAAACCCTAAACCCTAAACCCTAAACCCTAAACCCTAAACCCTTTCCCAAGGCCAAGCTGAACCAGCAGAAGAATCTCTACGACAATGTCTGCATGGACAGGACCCGTTCGAGCTCCTCGAACTCTCAGCCCTAACCCATCCTAACCCCAAACCCTCTCAAGCCGCCGACCTACAAAGCCTAGGCCCTCTATTATACACCTAATCCCAAACTCTGAACTTTATAAGCCCTCAACCCTTCCTTCCCAAAACCTTCAGCTGCTGCCGCAAATTCCAGAAACCCAAGCTAAGTTCCCGGCCCTTGAAATCCAGGGTCCATTTTCTTCAGGGCCATGTATGGGCTTCTTGTAACCCTGCTTATCAGTACCCATGAAACATCAAGTAGGGTTTAGGGTTTAGGGTTTAGGGTTTAGGGTTTAGGGTTTAGGGGGGAACGTGTGACTCCCGTTTGGGGTGTGCAGGAGTTATGTTCCAGGGCAACTCTAACCCCTAGTCCCTGAAACCCTGAACTCAAAACCCCGAAACCAAAAACCCTGAGCCCTAAGCCCTAAGCCCTAAGCCCTAAACCCTAAACCCTAAACCCTAGACCTTGAACCCTAAACCCTAAACCCTAAACCCTAAACCCTAAACCCTAAACCCTAAACCCTAAACCCTAAACCCTAAACCCTAAACCCTAAACCCCAAACCCTAAACCCTGAACCCTGAACCCTGAAGCCTATTGCCAGGAATATGCAGGCCAAGAGTTTGGTGGAGTCCAATGAAGAGATTGCGGTCCCCTGGCCAAGTGATGACGCCCTCGCCATGCTGCGGGGCCTTAGGGGGGTTTTCAGGGCTTAGTTGGGTTTATAGGGTTTACGGTTTTAGGGTTTAGGGTTTAGGGGTTTATCACTTCAACATACCCCAAACCCATACCCCTTAACCTATAAAAGGAGAATATAAGGAAGGATGTTGCCATACCCCTTAATTTCCTTTTTAGAGTATGCCCAAAAAGGTTATGTTGAGTGTTTCTTGGAGTTGAGGGTTTTTGGGGGTGTTTTCTTGAGGTTTTCATGGCTTGGGCTTCTGAAGGGCAACAAGCACAGAGTCTAGGGGTTGAGGGTTTAGGCTTCGGGTTTAGGAGTTTAAGGGCTTAGCTTTTGGCGGCGAGAGGGATTCAGGATTTGAGCTCGCAGCCCGCGCAGCTTTAAAAGCGCAAAGCAAAGAAGGCCTGACAACCTGGGATGTTCCCCTTATGCTAACAGTTCCTTAGTAGGGATTACAGCGACTGTTAAGAATCCCTATTAAGGACTGTTAGTATAAGGGGGAACATCCCAACTAAAAAGCCTTAACTTTCAAGACCCTGAGACAAACCTTAAAAACCCTTAAAGCAAGCCCAAAAGACCCCAAAATAATGCCCGAAAGGCCCTAGAACAAACTTTAAGGACCCTAAAGAACCCCAAAAAACCCTCCCAGCAAAAGCCCAAGACCTTCAGGACCCTGACCCCCTAAACCATCAACCCCACAACCCCAAACCTAAACCTTAAACCCCAAGCCCTAAACCCTAAACTCTAAACTCTAATACCCAAACCCTAAACCCTAAACCCTAAACCCTAAACCCTAAACCCTAAACCCTAAACCCTAAACCCTAGACCCTAAACCCTAAACCCTAAACCCTAAACCCAGGAGATGAACCGGAAGTTCAAGATCATGTGGGGCCGGCCGCGTTTGCCCCTAAGGACCCACCCAGCTGACTGGGTTTAGGGTTTGGGGTTTAGGGTTTAGGGTTCAGGGTTTAGGGCTTCGGGGCATGAGGGGTTCAGGGGTTTGAGGGTGGGGTTTGAGGGTTATTGGGGTTTGGATGTTCCCCCTTATACTCACAGTCCTTAAGAGGGATCACAAGGGGGAACATCCCAAGGTCTAGGCTTCTAGGCTTAAGTCTAGGAGTTACGGGTTTTCTTAGTGTTTTTGAGGTTTCAGAGGTGAGTTAGCGTGTCAGTTACCCCGAAACCAAAAAACCCTAAACCCCAAGCCCCAAACCCCACAAAACCCTAAACCCTAAACCCTAAACCCTGAACACCCAACCCTGAACCCTAAACCTTCGGCGTCAAAGTAGGGGATGCTGGGGGTTGCGGCCCAAAGCGAGGTCGGCCCGATCCCACGGGTTTAGGGCTTAGGGTTTCCTGCTTAGGGTTCAGGGTTTAGGGTTTAGGGTTTAGGGTTTAGGGTTTAGGGTTTAGGGCTAGGGTTTAGGGTTTCGGGTTTAGGGTTTGGGGCTTAGGATCTGCCAGTTTGCGTCCGCGCCCTCACTTCAGAAGGAGCGGAGCACGGGTACTACCACCCCTTTCTTCCCGCATCCCAGCTCCGAGCTCCTAGGCCCCTGCGCCCCTAAGCCAATACCCCGACCCTAAGACCCAAAACCCTAAACCCCAAAACCCTAAACCCTAAACCCTAAACCCTAAATCCTAGACCTAAAACCCAAACCGCAAGCCCTAAACCCGAAACCCAAAGATCCTGAACATAACACCCCTATATCCTGACCCCAAAAATCCTGAACCCTGAATCATAAACCCTACCCGAAACCCTAAACCCTAGCCCTAAACCCTAAACCCGAAACCCCGAACCCTAAACCCTAAACCCTGCATCCTTCCGTCTCTTTGTGCCAGATCGCATCAGACCACAGCGCTCAAAGAGGAGCTGCGCGAGAAGGACGGGGGGAGTGAGAGCTTCAGGAGAGTTTCGGGGTTTTTAGGGTTTAGAGTTAAGGGCTTGGGGTTTAGGGCTTGGGGCTTCGGGTTTTTAGGGTTTAGGGGTTTAGGGTTTGGGGTTTAGGGCTTGGGGCCTCGGGTTTTAGGGTTTAGGGGTTTAGGGTTTAGGGTTCGAGGGTTTAGGGGTTTATAGGGTTCGAGGGATGCAAAGGTTTAGCGGCTCCGCGCCACAAGACCCGAAGACCCGAAGAGCCTAAACCCTAAATCTACCCAATCTCACCCCTCGACTCAAACGCCTCTTCGGTTCAGGGTTCGTGGGGTTTGGTAGGGCAGTGGCTAGGAGCAAAGGTCCGGGGCCTAGGTTTCAGGGTTCACGATCCGATCCCCGAAGTCCTCTTCACCTCGATGGGTTGAGGGGCATCTTGGGTTTTATTCAACCTCATACAAGCCCATTCAGACCCCAAGCGCCTGAAAGCCCTACTTGTGCGAAACCCCCAAGCAAGCCCAGAAAGGATGCGTGGGGGGATAGCGCTGCGAGGACAGCCGACTGGTCCGCGGCCACTTTGAGCAGAAAGAGGCATGCGGCACGAACCCCAAAAAAAAGCCCCAAAGAGAAGGGGTCTAGGCCTTAGGGTTTTAGGCCTTGACCCTAAGCCCTAAACCCCAAGCCCTGAACCTCGTGTAGCCCTAGCTTGTTCTAGAAGACTCACGTGGTCCCAAACCCAGAACCCTAAACTAGTTCGTAGCACGACCCATGACCTGGACCCTAACCCGTAAACCCTACACCCTTATCCCCTAAACCCTGCACCCTTCTCCCCTAAACCCTGAACCCCAAACCCCAAACCCTAAACCCTAAACCCTAAACCCTACACCCTACACCCTAAACCCTAAACCCTAAACCCTAAACCCTAAACCCTAAACCCTAAACCCTAAAAGCTGAACCCTGAAGCCCAAAGCCCCAAAGAAGCGGAGCTCCGAGGTCCAACGCGCTAGTCTGCTTCCCCAAAGCGAAGGAAGCACAGGTTGACACCAAAGTCCCAAGACAGGGTTCAGGGTTCAGGGTTCAGGGTTCAGGGTTTAGGGTTTAGGGTTTAGGGTGTAGGGTTTAGGGTTTAGGGTGTAGGGTTTAGGGTTTAGGGGTATTCAGTGGTATGTAGGCCCTCGCTTTGGACTTCTTCCTGCCCAAAGCCAAAGCCCGCAGTCACACCCAAAGCTGCGTCGGCGCAGTTGCTGAAGCACAACGACAAGCTCAAAGACGCCAAGGAGCGGGCCCAGCGCAGGCCCTGAATTAGTGTTGTTGTTTTTTTTATATCAGGTTTTCTTGCTTTCAGGCTTGCTTAGGGGTTTAGGGTCTTGGGTTTAGGTGCTCCTTGTGAAGCTAGACCTCAGCAGAGAGCCAAGAATGTGCAAACAACCCCGTAGGCCTTGGGCAAGAGTTTGGGGTTCCGGGCTTGAGTTTTCGGGGTGCACCTGAAACTTGTCACCCAGAGATTTTGCAAGGTATACAGTACGTTCGCGATCCCAGGAGGAGCCGATCTTAAACCCCCAGCCCTCGACCCTAAATCCTAAAGATTGCTGAAACTGCACCCCAACAAACCTTAACCGCCAAAGCATAGACACCTAGACCCCTGTAAACCCTCAAAACCCACCAAAACTCAAGGGACTCAGAAGCCGATAAGACTTATTGTTTTAGGGGTTGGGATGTTCCCCCTTATCCTAACAGCTCCTGAATAGGGACTCTAGTACCCCCAATCTGTTAGGCGTGTTTAAGGGTTTGGGGGGGGGGTGGGGTGTAGGGTTTTGGGTATTAGGGGTGGAAGGGTTGAGGCATTAAGGGGTTTTGGGGTTAGGGTTTAGGTTAGGGGGTCAGGGTGCAGTAGTTTCGGGCTTAGAGATGGTTGATGGCTTAGGCTTTTGGCTTTAAGGTTCAGGTTTTTTGGATTTAGGGGTTTCTTGCAGGGAGGCTGTGAAGGGTTCTTGGGGCTCTTCGGGGAGTTTGGGGGTTCCGGGCTTTAGCCGAAGTTTAGGAGTTTAGGGCCTTAGGCCCTGAGAAACTCGAGCTCCACCTTCTAGCTGGCTACTCCCTTCCTTGGGGTGCTTGCAGCCGGCTGCCTAGGTTTCGGCGAGCTTTGAGGGTTGTACCCGACCTTGCACCACCTCATGCACCTCAAAGTAAACCCTAAGCAAGACAGGCTCAAGAGCCTCACCAACATCGTGGAGACTCAGCCGGGGCGCCCAGCAGCGAACTTCCCCAAAGCTCGATTCGCCCCCCGCCCCCCCAAGCCCTAAAGGAACAAAGGGTCACCCCTTCACTCTCCGAGCGCTGTAGGACTTGTAGGGGGGATGCTCCGACTGATGAACAGATGCAACAGAAGTATGTTTGAAGGCTCTAGGGTTGGTTTGTGAGCTCAGCGGTCCGGTCCCCTGCTAAAGTCTGCCAGAATTCTTGTGCGCTTTTTTTGTCTGGTTTTTCTAGGTGCTGAGTAGGAAACCTTCGACCTTTCTCAAACGTTTGAAACTCAAATGTTGCCCTTTTGGCCCCCAGGCATCTCGGTCCGTTTCAGTCCTCACGAGCGCCACTTCCTGTTGAGGTTTAGGGTTTAGCGTTCCGGGAAACCCTACTACATCCTCAAATGCTAAAAATTCTTATTCTAGGAGGTACCCTGATAAAGCAGGGTTGCCTTCATCGTAGGGTTTAAAAGCCACAAAGGGTTCCCACGAGTGGTTAAAGGTACGTATAAGCCCTACTCCTATCCCTGTAGCTGAGGTAGATATGGCCCCTCAAACATCAACCGCACTTAAGCAACTCTTTCGACTTTGTATCTTTGTTGAGCATTCCTAGGATGAGGACTTTAGCTTTCTGGGAATTTGTGGTGCCCCGCAATACCGGGGACCCTAAGCCCTAAACCCGAATAAAAGCTGCCCGTGGACCTCCAAGCAGGCGGTCGCAGCTGAAGAAGCTGGAGACCGTGCGTCGAATGTGTTTGTTGGGTTTGGGGTATCTGGGAGATTTAGGGTTTAGGCTTTGTAGGGTCTGCAGGGCTTAGGCTAGGTTTAAGGGTGTTTTTTCAGCTCATCGTTTTTTTGGTTGCTTGTTGTTATGGGATGCTTTGGGCTCTTGGGGTTTTAGGGTTTGGGTTTTGAATTCAGGGTTTAGGGCTTGGGTTTAAGGTTCGGGAGTTGCAGGGTTTGAAGTTAATAATTCCCCAGTTCTTTGGTTGGCCAAAGGACCTTTTGAGATCCGGTACGTTTAGGGTCTAGGGAGGAGGGGTGTAGCAAAGGAATGTAGGGCTTAGGGGCTCAAACCCCTGGTGGTTGTATGTCGCGAAATTAAGTGGGGAATGGCATAGGCCGCCATAGGCCTTTGCCGGCGCCTATCATTCGACCCTCTCCTTGAAGCCTCATAAGACTTAGGGTGTATGTTTGGGCTTTCGCAGGATCGAAGCTTTACACTGCCTTGCAAGGGTTGGGCTTTTGGGTTTGGGGTGCAAGCTCGGAGGTTTAGGCCTCAGGAGCGTAGCTTGGGTTTAGAATTTCCAGGGTTTTAGGGTTTAGGGTTTATTGGCTCTTCCGTAGCAGCAAAGCTGCCACTCCTTGGGCCCCGTGTTCTCTCGTGTTCGTCCCAGATCCCCCCCCCAATTAGGCGTTGTCCTTAAGTCCTAAATCTCATACACCCCTAGAGACTCCAAAACCCCTTAATTAAGGAATATACCTTAAATCATATTACGGTTCCTATTATAATTTCAGGTATATTCCTTAATTAAGGGTTTTGGAGTCTCTGGGCTCTGGGATCGGGTTAGGCTTGTGGCTTGAGGGGCTCTCGATGTGCTGGTCGAGGTTATTTTTTGCGGTTGCACCCCCCCAAACTTCCCAAACCCCAAGCTGCATTCCCTGAGCCCAGCAACCCCTAAACCTTGGGCCCCCTTCTACTAACAGCTCCCTTGATATGGATGATAGTACCCCCCCCTGCTATAATCCCCTATGAAGGAGCTGTTAGTATAAGGGGGAACATCCCGACCCTAAGCCCATGCTGAGGTTGAATTTAAAAAGCAGAGACATGATCGGTCGAGCAGACGTTTGCAGGTTTGGGCTTCGCCTTTGGGGTTTTATGGCCTGGGGTTTAGGGCTCCACCTTCCGGGTTGAGGAATGCACAGCCTCAGACCCTGGGGTTGAGGGTTTGAGGGTTTCAGAGTTGGGGTTTAGGGGCTCTGCAGTGTGGGTTTTCCAGGGCTTAGAGGTGGGTAGTTGAAGCTTTATCGCACGAGCTGGAGGCTCGTAGAAGCTTTTACTTAGAACTGCCCTACACCCGAAATCCGCAACACTACGCCAAACCCTCAACGCCATACCCTCTACCAGAAACCCTGAACCGTAAACGCCCTATTTTACACCCTAAACCCCTAAACCCTCAACACCCTAAATCTTGAACCCTAAATTTTTGAATGAACCCCGAACCCTCAATCTTGAACCCTAACAGCCCTGAGCCCCAGTAGTGGGGGCCGCCCCTAAACCCTAAACCCTAAACCCTAAACCCTAAACCCTAAACCCTAAACCCGAAACCCGAAACCCTAAACCCTAAACCCTAAACCCTAAACCCTAAACCCTAAGCCGCCTCTTGCGGTGTTTCGAGGAGAGCACCATCCAGGAGGCCGAGCAGGAACGGCAAGCCCAGCTCAAGGACCTGCAGGGTTTTGGGGGCTTTTGCTTTTTTTTGGGGGGGGGGGTGGGGGGGATCTTGGGGGTTTAGGGTTTAGGGTTTAGGGTTTAGTCCTTTTTCTAGGGGGGGAGGGGGGTTTGGGGTTTAGGGTTTCGGGTTTGAGGATTGAGGTGTAGGCTGGGGTTTAAAGGTTCGACAGGGTTGGGTTGGGTTCAGTTGGTTTTAGGGATAGAGGTTCAGTAGGGTTGCCGTTGGAGGGCTGTGGGTTCAGTAGGGCTCATTGTGGCTCAACAGGGTAAAGGTTTTGAGGGGGTTAGGCTTTTAAATGGTTCTAGGGTTTAGGGAGGTTTCGGGAGGTTTAGGGAGGTTTAGGGAGGTTTAGGGAGGCTTAGGGAGGTTCAGGGTGTGACCCTCGTGCTTTGGGTCGAAAGTAAGGATGGCGAGGTTTAGGGTTTAGGGTTTAGGGTTTAGGGTTTAGGGTGTAGGGTTTAGGGTTGTAGGGTTTTCGACTTCAGGCTTGCAAGGGTGGCAGCGGGAGAAAGCAGTCCTGTCAGCCCTGGAAAACCTCTGCTTAGAGGGGTGTCTAGAACCCCTAAGCAGTTCTAAGGCTCCAGGCCCTAGGTACCCTCAAGCTTCTGTTAAAACACCACAACGACCCCAAAGCCTTGAACCCCACAACCGAAGACTTTTGGACAAGAGGAGCTCGAGGGTGTCGTCGGCGAGCGTGACATCCTGGGTGCCCAGCTCATTCGGCGGAATGAGGCGGCGGTCTGCGAGTAACAGATCTCGAAAGCCCCCTCAGGGGTGTAGGAGAGGGTGACAAAGTTTTTCTATTTTAAGATCCTGCACTTAGCTCGAAGCGAACGATCTAAAGGATCCAGGTGCAGGACTAGGGTTTTCAGGCATTAGAGATGTAAGGCTTTCGGTTCATGGTTTCCGCGTTTTGGGTTCAGGGTAGGGAGTTCGTTGCTCTGTTTGTGTCAAGTTGCCATTGCAGTGCACCAATGCCAAACGCTAAACCCTGAATCCTCAACCCTAAACCCTAACCTGCCAAAACACCCGAAACCCGAAATCGCCCTGAGTTCGAAAGCTACTTGAAGGTTCGTGGGCAGAGCTGGGGTCATACATTGGGATGTTCCCTTAAACTAACAGTCCTTAGTAGGGAGTATAATAGGGGGCAATATGAAGGACTGTTAGTATAAGGGGGAACATGCCAAGTCACACTATAGCTGGATCTAAAGTGGGGAACTGTAGCTTCTATCTGAAAGCCCTGAAACCTCACTTATGTGAACCTTGAACCTTCAAGTAGGGTTCAGGTCTGCAGACAACGGCCTCTGCAAACACTAGACTGCCTAAACTCCCCAAACCCCTAAACCAAAAAAACAAAAGAGCCCAACAGAAGCGAACCCCGCCCCTATGACCCCAAACCCTAAACCCTAAACCCTAAACCCCAAACCCTAAACCCTAAACCCTAAACCCTCAACCCTGAAATTCCTTCGACGCCCAGCTCCAGGAGCTGGCGCTCCTCTACGAGAAGATCAAGATCCAGCAGAGCACGTTGCAGAAGGGAGAGATCCAGCAACTCCCCCCGCTAGGGCTTTAGGGTTTAGGGGGTTTAGGGGGTTTAGGGGGTTTAGGGTTTAGGGTTAGGGTTTAGGGTTTAGGGTTTAGGGTTTAAGGTTTGGGGTTTAGGGTTTAGGGTTTAGGGTTTAGGGTTTGGGGTTTGGGGTTTAGGGCTAGGCGCTCCGCAAGTGTGAGGGGGTCTCGTGCCGTTAGCAATGTCTGAAGTACAAGCCAGTGCCTTGCGTGAATTTCCATTGACGTTCCAGCTGTTTTGTGGGAAGATATTGGAGGTCAAATCGATTTGAAACAACAATTGAAAGAAGCTGTGGAATGGCCTTTAAGTTGCCCAGAAGCGTTTGAAATCAGGGTGTTCGTGAGGGGTTCGTGGTTTGTAGGGTTTCAATGCGCCAGGGGGTTCGTTCAGATCACATCGCCTCCTCTGGTCGATGCAGCTAAGGGTTCTCCAGTCTGGGTGGGTTCTACTCAGAGCAATCGCTGCAAATCCGAAAGCCGACACCACTTGTCTGTGGATGATCATGAACGAAAGAAGCAGCCCGGAGGTGTGTAGCGAAATCGACACACCTAAGCCCTAAGCCCTAAGCCCTAAGCCCTGTATAGGTGTGCCCGGGAGCTTGTCGAAAACGCAGGCCCCAAATGCTTTAACCCGCCCTCGAGAACCCCATGCTTTCAACCCTAAACCCTAAACCCTAAACCCCAAACCCTAAATCCTAAACCCCAGAGTTTGCCTCCGCCCATCCAAAGAGGGATGCCCTACTACATCCCCAAAGCCTTATGAAAGGAGCCCAGACAAAGGCTTAAGGCTTAGGGTTTGCCTAAACCTTAAACCCGCAACCCAGAAACCCTAAACCCAGAACCCAGAAACCCCAAACCCTAAGCCCTTATCCCAGAAACCCAAAACCCCAAAACCACAAAATACCCATAACCCCAAAAGCCCTAAACACCCATAACCCCAAAAACCCTAAACAACCATATCTCCAAAAACCTTTAAATATCAGAACCCCAAAACCCAAAAGATTGTAAACCCTAAGCCCAGAACGCAACAACCCTAAACCCACAACCCAGAAACCCTAACCCCACGACCTCAAAGCCCTAAACCCTAAGCCCATAACCCCAAAAACCCAAAAAAGCCATAAACCAAAACCCCCACCAAAAACCTAAGCCCAGAAACTCCCAAAAACCCGAAAAGAAACTCTAAACACTTGTTGTTTTGACAGCCCGAAAAACCCTAAAGATACCCGAAACCCGAAACCCTAAACCCTAACTCCTAAACCCTAAACCCGAAAACCATAAACCCTAAACCCTCAACTCTCAACCCTCAACCCTCAACTCTCAACCCTCAACCCTAACCCCTAAACCTTAAACCCTAAACCCTAAACACACCTCGAAGGCCCCTCCCGCCCCTTGCAAGAGGTACGAGGAGCGGATCAAGGAGGTGACGAAGCTCCGTGCCCAGATCCGCGCGTGCAAGGCTCGGGATTTGGAGGGGCTTTAGTGGGAGGGTTTAGGGTTTAGGGTTTAGGGTTTTAGGGTTTTAGGGTTTACGGGTTTCAGGGTTTTAGGGTTTAGGGTTCAGTCTTTAGGGTTTAGGGTTTTGGGTTGGGGTTTTAGGGACTTGCGGTCTCACGCGATTTCGGGTTGGGGTTGTTGGCCTGGGGGACTGAGGGGCTGTTATCCAAACTATTCCCCGGTCAGAACCTTTTCAGAAAAAACCTGTGACAGTAAGCTTCCGCGGCTCCCGACCCTGCCCTAAACCCTAGACCCCGAAACCCCAAAACCCCCAGGCCTCATCACAAGTAGATCCTCGCTTCTGAACGTGCGAGAGAAAACCCTGAACCCTGAACCCCCCCCCCCCCCCCTAAATATCAAGCTCCAAACCTGAAGCCTCTAAACTTGGGGGATGTTCCCCCTTATACTAACAGTCCTCAGTAGGGATTCTAGAAACCGAACATCCCAACCCCCAGCACCCCCTCCGCCCGAAAGAAGTTGGCAGGGGGAGGTGGGACATGCGAAGCTGCAGGCGGGCGAGGGCGTTTCTCCGTCGGCTTCTCTTGGTAGATGGCCAACCCTAAGCCCTAAACCTTCTAAACCCTAAATCCTAAACAACCCTGAACCCTAAACCCTAAACCCCAAACCCTAATGGGGAGGCGGAGCTGGGTTCTTTGTAAGCTTTGGGGACCTTCGGCATGTGGCGGTTTGATGGGTTCACGACTGAAGGCTGTTGCAAGGGCACTTGGAGGTTCAGATGGGTGGTTGCAGGGTTTAGAGTTTAGAGTTTAGGGTTCAGGGTTTAGGGTTTAAGGTTAGCTTGAATGTCGGGTTTCGGGCTTCCCTCAAAGGAACCCTAGGCTCTTCAGGTAGGCAGGGGGCCAGCTGCCAGGTGACCAACGTCGAGGGCCTCAAGCAAGAGATCCACTTCCTGAACAAGACGCTCCTGCGCGAGGCCGCTCGCCGTTTGGGCAGTCCCAGCTCTGACTCCTCCCGTTTAGGGTTTAGGGTTTAGGGTTCAGGGTTTAGGGTTTAGGGAGACCTAATCCAAACCTCAAACCCTTTATGCCACAACAAGAGGCGTGGCAACAAAAACCCCAAAAAACGCCAATAAGGCCAGGCCCAAAGCCATACACGCATCCCCCAATGTAAATTTTCATATTGTCTCAACCATGAACTAGAGCCCACCGCCTGCAGACCTGGAAGCTTGCTGTAGTTTTTAGCATGTTCCGGGGCTCCGAAATCCCAAGCCCTAAACTCAAGAGGAGGGAAGACCACAAACCCTAGACCCTAAACCCTACGTAAACCCTAAGCCCTTAACCCGAAACCCTTACACCGAGGGGTTTGTCCAGGCCTTGGGGGGGGGCCCTGCTTTGAATGCAGGAGACGAAGGCAAAGGCCTTGCACGAGGAGCTCGAAAACCCGATGTGGCCTGGCGAACTTCAGGATTAAATATAGGGGTCGGAATGTTTACTATTAACATTCCTTTAGGGCCCCTTTGTAATTGTACGAAAATACCCCCCCCCCCCCAAGAACCCTATTGTAATTATTCGGGAGGTTTTACCACCGAAATTCCGAGACCTCAGCAACCCCCCCCCCCCCCCCCCGCCCCCCGCTCCAACTTTGGCAGACCTAATGTGTCTGCATAGAGATCAGAATGGAAGGGTTTGGCATTGTGAGGCTTCAGGGTTCAGTTATTATTACATTTATTATTTTTGTCATTATTATCATTATTATCATTATTATCTTTATTATCATGATTATCATTATTATCATTAGTATCATTATTATCATTATTATCATTATTATCATTATTATCATTATTATCATTATTATCATTATTGTCATTATTATCATTATTATCATTATTATCATTATTATCATTATTATCATAATTTTCATTATTATCATTATTATCACTATTATCATTAGTATCATTAGTATCATTAGTATCATTAGTATCATTAGTATCATTAGTACAATTATTCTCATTATTATCATTATTATAATTATGGTCATTATTATCATTATTATTTTATTTGTTTATTTATTTGTTTATGTATTTGTTTATTTGTTTTATTTTATACGGGCTTTATTTTAGCTAGGGCTTTCGGATCTTCCAATCCAGCTGTAGTTTGAAGGTTCTCGGGTGTCTTGCATCCTTGAAGCCGCGTCAAAAGCTAGGTAGCTGTATCTACAATCTTCAGTAAGGTACCCTAAACCCTAAGCTAAACCCTAACCCTGAACCCTGAACCCTGAACCCTATCCCTAAACCCTAAACCGTAAACCCTAAACCCTAAGCCCTAAGCCCTGAAACAAAAAAAACTCCTAATCCCTCCATGAGCCGTCAAGCAGGGTTTCAGGACGGCCTTCCCTCGAGCCTTAAACCCGAACCCCCCGCCCCCCCGCCCTGCCCTTAGACGCGCTGGTTTTCAGGGCTACCAGCCTCTCACATAGGGTTTAGGGTCTCATTAGCCGCTGGAGCCTCAAAACCCTACAACCCTGCTTGGAGCTTCCAAGGTAGCCACGAACTGGTTTTTAGTTGGACAGCTGTCAATGCATACTGGTCAGAATCTTCTTGCTGGTCATAGCTTTAGTTGGGGTACCTGTAGCCCTATTTCTAGTGACCTCCGAGCCTTCAAACCTTCAAGTGCCCCCCAAACCCTAAACGCTAAACCCCACACCCGAAGCCCTCAACCCTCAAACCCGAACCCCCCGCCCAAGAAGCAATAAGCAAGAGTTGTAGGGTTTAGGGGGCACTGCCCCCAAATCAACAGATAGACAGCCACGATGGCAGCTGAGGAACGTCCACCGCTGGAGGGAGCTTGAGGCCCCTTCCATGCCAGACCTTGAGGGTTTAGGGTTTAGGGTTTAGGGTTTAGGGGGTTTAGCGGGTTTAGGGTTGAGGGTTTGGGGTTTAGGGTTTAGGGTTAGGGTTTAGGGGGTTTAGGGTAGGGGTTGAGGCTTTAGGGTCGGGTCCAGGGTTTAGGGTTGCAGCGACACGTCACAAAGACCCTGAAGGCCTTCAAGCCTCCATGATGAGACCTGAGATGCCTGTCAACGACTGTCGAGTCAAAACAAGTGCCTAGGGTTTAGGGTTAGGGGTTGTAGGGTTTGTAGGGATTGTAGGGATTGCAGCGTTCTGAAAACCCTAAACCCTAAACCCTCAACCCTAAACCCTAAAACCCTAAACCCTAATCCTGAAAGTCTTCCCCCAGCCCCGAAGAAGCTGAGCCCTGGCTCAGTCCTCGGATCCGGCGACCTACCAGAGCATTCTCAAGGTTCGGGGAGGGTTTAGGGTTTAGGGGTTTAGCGGTTTAGGGTTTAGGGGTTTAGGGTTTAGGGGTTTAGGGGTTTAGGGGTTTAGGTTTAGGGGTTTAGGGTTTAGGGGTTTAGGGTTCAGGGGTTTAGGGGTTTGGGGTTTAGGGTTTCGGGTTTAAAATAAAAAATCCCTCAGCCTCGAACGCTTTAGGGATGAGGGGTTCAGGGGTTAACGTGCTTCAGGGATTAGCTCGTGGAGCTGGCTGATACGAGTTGGGACCTAGCATTCGGGTTGGACGCCATTGCGAAACTGCCCTTTGACTGGGGGTGGGGTGTAGGGTTTAGGTTCTACATTTTTGCTAGTCTGTGAACGCGGTCTTGAATGTACCCAGCTTTAGATTCAGTAGCTATACTCTGGCCTGAAGTCTGAGTGGAACCCGAGGATGAGTCTATCAGCGGCTGGAGCGCCAATACATCAGCCTCTAAAGAAATTTCCCTTCCTCGCGCCTTGGTACTGTCCAAATGGCACATTCGAATGAAGTAGGCCCCGTTACTAGGCGGTGTTTGATAGTCACCACCTTTAGGGTAGCAGAGTCCTGAGCCGGGCATGACAACTGGTTTCCGAACAAACATGGCGGGTGCAGCTTACGATTTCACGACTTTGGCCTGGGTGTAAGGCACGCACCCAAGCCTGAGGCTGTTCCCCTGGAAGGACACGGGGTGAGAGATTAACCAAAGGCCGTTGTTTCGCAACCCTAATCCCTAGGGCCTAAACCCTAAACCCCAAACCCCAAACCCTAAACCCCAAACCCTAAACCCTAAACCTAAGCCTTGTTCCGGCTGGGGGGGGGGGGTGGTGGGTCCTAAACCCTAAACCTAAACCCTAAACCCGACACCCTAAACCCTAAACCCTAAACCCTAAACCCTAAACCCTAAACCCTAAACCCTAAACCCTAAACCCTAAACCCTAGGGGAGTGGTGGTGGGTCCTTGAGGTGAAGGCGCTGCAGAAGCTCCTGATCTCGAAGACGGAGGAGGCTGGGGAAGCCCTCAGGGCTTCTTTGGGGAACAGGTCCGGAGGGGTTTAGGGTTTAGGGTTTCGGGTTTCGGGTTTAGGGCTTCGGGGGCTTAGGGTTTAGGGCTTAGGGCTGAGGGTTAGGGTTTAGGGGTTGGGGTTTATGATTGATTGAGGGTCCCATAGGGCCCCAAGACCCCGAACCGGCAACTTGGGGTTCATGTTCGCCGTGTTGGCTCAGAGCTTGACAGCTGCATCCAAGTGCCAAAGCGATCGTAAGCGGTCGTCTCGATCCCGTCTTCCCTCCTGAACATGTTTCGCCTTGCTCTTTCCGGAGGTTTGCTGGCGGTGGTTGTGCTGCTCATGGGTTGTGGAGAGGATGCCGCAGTCGAGTGTGCCACCTACAGCAAGGGTGAAGCCGGAGCTGTCACGGACTATGCCTCCTGCGCCACGGCTTGCGACAAAGGAGAAGGCATCCAAGAAACCTACGGCACCCACACCTGGTCGGGCAGCTCCGGCGCCGGAGAGTGCTCGTGCAAACTCAGCGACAGCGAGCACCGCACGGCTTGTAAGGACGCCGGCTACTCCAGTTGAAGGCAAGGAAGGGATCTGACTCGGATGCCATGATGTCCACGTCAAGTTCGTGACGTGGCTCTCAAGGTTGTCAAGTGTTGTCCTATGCGAGTAAATGTGATTGGCGGGTGCAAGAAATCATTCGCCTGTGTTGTAATTCGCGGTGAGCCCAACCGTTCCAGTGTCGCTTGATCCACGCTGAAGTGCGGGGGAGAGCGCCCACAGCCGGACGCCGCACGCCATCAAGTCACGACGAAACGAGATGTCCTTCAGAACCCTAAACTACCCTCAACTCCCCCCGAAACCCTAAAATCCCTGATGCTTCCCGGATTCGAGATTCGCCAAGGGCCCCAGAGTATCAGCTGCCGAGTTAGTACTCGTAGGCTTTTGAAGGGTCTTAGGGGGGCTTTCAGGGGTTCTCAGGCCGAGGGGATTTATGTAGGTTTGTTTTTTGGCAGTGTTTTTAAAAGGGAATTCGTGTTTCTAGCTGTCACCTTAGAACCTTAGATCCTTCGGCCATCCGGCGGTTCAACAGGTGTCTTAACAAGTTGGCCACAAGATGCGTTTTTTTTTGCCCGATGCCCAGGTGCAGCCCAGTTTGGGTTTAGGGTTTCCAGGGATTAGGATTGAGGGTTCGGAGGGGTTTAGGGTTTATGGCTGATAGGAGTCGGAGGGGTTTAGGGTAAATGATTGATTGAGGGTCCCATGGGGCCCCAAGACCCCGAACCGGCAACTTGGGGTTCATGTTCGCCGTGTTGGCTCAGAGCTTGACAGCTGCATCCAAGTGCCAAAGCGATCGTAAGCGGTCGTCTCGATCCCGTCTTCCCTCCTGAACATGTTTCGCCTTGCTCTTTCCGGAGGTTTGCTGGCGGTGGTTGTGCTGCTCATGGGTTGTGGAGAGGATGCCGCAGTCGAGTGTGCCACCTACAGCAAGGGTGAAGCCGGAGCTGTCACGGACTATGCCTCCTGCGCGACGGCTTGCGACAAAGGAGAAGGCATCCAAGAAACCTACGGCACCCACACCTGGTCGGGCAGCTCCGGCGCCGGAGAGTGCTCGTGCAAACTCAGCGACAGCGAGCACCGCACGGCTTGTAAGGACGCCGGCTACTCCAGTTGAAGGCAAGGAAGGGATCTGACTCGGATGCCATGATGTCCACGTCAAGTTCGTGACGTGGTTCTCAAGGTTGTCAAGTGTGGTCATATGCGAGTAAACGTGATTGGCGGGTGCAAGAAATCATGCGCCTGTGTTGTAATTCGCGGTGAGCCCAACCGTTCCAGTGTCGCTTGATCCACGCTGAAGTGCGGGGGAGAGCGCCCACAGCCGGACGCCGCACGCCATCAAGTCACGACGAAACGAGATGTCCTTCAGAACCCTAAACTACCCTCAACTCCCCCCGAAACCCTAAAAACCCTGATGCTTCCCGGATTCGAGATTCGCCAAGGGCCCCAGAGTATCAGCTGCCGAGTTAGTACTCGTAGGCTTTTGAAGGGTCTTGGGGGGGCTTTCAGGGGTTCTCAGGCCGAGGTGATTTATGTATTTTTTTTTGCAGCGTTTTTAAAAGGGATCACCTTAGAACCCTAGATCCTTCGGCCATTTGGCCTTCAATGGGTGTCTTAACAAGGTGGCCACAAGATGCGTTGTTTAGCCCAATGGCAGGGTGCAGCCAAGTTTGGGTATCACGAAGCCCTCTTGTGGTTTAGGGCCGCCCACCCCTGGCACGGAGGACAACAGAGAGTGAGGTGCTCGCCAAGCCTTCCCCCAACCCCCCCCCCCCCCCCCCCCCCCCCCCCCAAACAAAAAAAAGAGGAAAAAACAACCAAACCTTTCAAGCAATATTCCTACACCCTAAGCCTTCAGCCCTAAACCCGAAACCCTACATGTTCAGCCCTAAACACTAGGCCCATCACAGCTCTGTGCCAGGTAGTTGAAAAGGATGCGCTGATCCAGGAGAAGGTGCCCTGGCAGTGTGTGGGGAATGCACGACAAACATGGCGTCCCAAACTCAAACCCTAAACCCTAAACCCTAAACCCTAAACCCTAAACTCTAAACCCTAAATCCTAAACCCTAAACCCTAAACTCTAAACCCTAAACCTTAAACCCCAAACCCTAAACCCTAAACCCTACACCCCGAATCCTAAACCCTAAAACCTAAACCTGAACACCTGGGGGTGTCTAAGCGATTTGAAAGTTCTGCCAAGGAGAAGCTCTACGTGCAGCTGAAGAACATCATCGCCAGGCGGATTTGAGGGAAGCCCCAAAAGCCTAAGCCCCTCCGCCACTTCCACCCGGTGGTACCCTTACTCACTATTTTCTAGAACCTAATGGAGCAAGAAGGGTACTGGGCCCCAGAACGTCCCACCTCCCGGGCAGTTTCCAGGTTTACTTCCAACCCCAAGCCCTAAGCGCTAAGCCCTAAGCCGTAAGCCCCAAGCCCAAAGCCCGAAACAAACCTCCACCTCCCCCCCCCCCCCCCCCAACCAAGCAAAAAAACACACAAAATAACCCTAAACCCCTAAACTACACATAAGATAAACGAAGCGCCCGAAACCCCAGCTTCGAACGCCATGACCTGCAAGCGTGTCCTGAGGCAACCGGGACCCGAGGTCGCCGAGCAGCTGTCGTGGTGACCCCTAGGGTTGAGGGTTTAGGGCTTAGGGTTCAGGGCTTAGGGCTTAGGGTTCAGGGTTTAGGAGGGTTCAGGGTTTAGGGTTTAGGGTTCAGGGCTTAGGGCTTAGGGTTCAGGGTTTAGGGCTTAGGGTTCAGGGCTGAGGGCTTAGGGTTCAGGGTTCAGGGTTCAGGGTTTAGGGTGTAGGGCCTTTCGGTGTTTCGGAGAGATTTATTCGGGGTGTCCAGGGGCGTTTAGAGGGGGGTTGGGGGAGTTTTTTTGAGGGTCCAGGGGTTTTCGGGGCTTTAGGGGTTTTACATGAACCCTAAATCCCCCACCCCCACCGCACAAATACCCTGCTCTCAGGAACCCTATGCCCAAACCCTAAACCCTAAACCCGAACCCTAACCCTAAACACCCTAAACACCCTAAACCCTAAACCCTGAACCCTGAACCCTGAACCCCGAACCCTGAACCCTAAACCCTCAACCCTGAACCCTGAACCCTGAAAGCCTGAACCCTGAACCCTAAACCCTAAACCCTGAACCCTGAACCCTGAAAGCCTGAACCCTGAACCCTAAACCCTAAACCCTGACCCTAACCCCTAAACATTCTGCCAGGTACAGCCAGAACCTCAAGGAGAAGACCGGGCACATGAAGCAGATGGCCCAGGAGTTGGAGATGTACCACAACCAGGCCGACGTTGCCCCCAAAAAAGACCCTAAAATTCTGCAAAAACCCAAAGCCCTAAGCCCTGAGCCCTAAACCCTAAACCGAAGACCACCTTGGAGTCTCTCTGGGCCGTCAAGTTGGGCTTTGGGGGTCGAGGGCTCCGGGTTTTGGGGCTTAGGCTTTCGGGTTCAGGGTTTTCAGTTTTAGTTATAATATTTTAGAATTGGGAGAAGTACTTAAATCCCATGACTAAACCGAGTTCAACCCTGAGCGGTAAGCCCCGAACACGAACCCTCGAACTCGAGGCCCTCAACCCTCTCTAGTGCGGGTAGAGAAGCCGTGATGTAGGGATGAGGGTCGAGAGTTTCAAAGATCCTTCTAATTTATAATATAAGGGTTAGGGAACCCCTAAATCAAGCCCTATTTGGGCTTTTGTTGTTCTCGTAATTTAGGGCTTAGCCACCCCCGCTACCCATGAATCTTACCCCCCAATAAGCAGATAAACCCTTAACCCTAAACCCCAAACCCCAAACCCTAAACCCTAAACCCTAAACCCTAAACCTTGTTAGGGTAACTCCCCGGCAGGTCCAGGACCTGAAGGAGGAGATCGAGCGGCACAACAAGGTGAGTCCCCCCCCCCCCCCCCACGACTCCGAAGGTGTTGTAGCGTTTAGGGTTTAGGGTTTAGGGTTTAGGGTTTAGGGTTTTTTTTAGGGTTTAGGGTTGTTGAGGGCCTGGAGGGCGAAGACATCACAGGAAGCGGGGCCTATAAGGGAGGTCGGTTGGCTTGTCGGATTTGTCATATACAGTTGAGGCTTTACAGGGTTGGGGTTCTTAGTGGGGAAGAAAGCGGTGGTTCCACAGCAGATTAAGGAGAGAGGGGTTTGGGCCCTAGGGTTTAGGGTTTAATCTCCCGAAGCGCCCCACCAACATCCAAGAAGTGGCTGTGCAGGCCCCCGCTTCTTAGTAGGGAATGAGATAAACCCCCCTAAATATACCCTTCAAGAATATCGGGTACCTCATTCCCTCCTTCACTACTACGCACCACGCACCAGCCAGTAGGTGGATGTAAGAGGCACATAGGGGCAGCTTGAAGCAGTACATGGAACCGGTGTCGTGAGTTATGGACGCTGCAACAAATATGCCCTCACTGCCGAACTATGGTCACTACCCTAAACCCGGAACCCTGAGTGTCAGGAGCCATATTGCAATGGAGAGACTCAAAAAGGGACTCTTAACTTCTGGAGTTGACCACAACCCCTCCTTGAGATCCTAATTCCTAACCCCGAAGCCCGAAGTGGCCCTCAGCCCCTAAACCCTAAACCCTAAACCCTAAACCCTAAACCCTAAACCCTAAACCCTACAATGGCCCCAACGCCCTCATGCTAAGCCCGAAACGGCCCAAGCCTGAGTTCGCATCAGGACTTCCAGGGCACCAAGCAGGCAGGGTTTCGGCCCCTTGGGGCGGCGCTCTTGGTGGTGAGCCAAGGGGCTTCGGGTTTACTTCTTATACCCCAAACCCCAAACTCTAAACCCTAAACCCTAAACCCTAAACCCTAAACCCTAAACCCTAAACCCTAAACCCTAAACCCTACACCCTAAACCCTAAACCCTAAACCCTGAACCCTAACTGCAAGCAAGCCCGAAGTGGAAGCCTCAAGCCTTAAACCTTGGGAAATGGAGGGTCCTGAGGCCAATGTGCAGGTTCATGACTGTCAGGGGGCTTCCGGGTCTTCAGATTTAGGGTCTTTTAGTAGGGTACGGGGCTTAGATCTATAGGTGTTTTGGCATGGTTCCGGGGGATTACTAGGGGCTTGCTAGAGGGGTTTGGGTTTAGGGTTTAGGCGTCGGGCTTATGTGTTTTCCTGCAAGCGTAATTTCAGGGTGGAGGGGGAGCGCGGCTACAAGACCACAAGAGCCAGCTGGACAAGAAGCAGCTTTCTGTGATAAAGCAGACTCTCAACATCGTGACCCCGATAATTGTGGTCTGCCTTCGTAAATGTTGGTGGTTTGCACTATCCCTAATTGAGTTTGGTAGAAGCTATCCAAAGTAGGCAGTCTACTTGTTACAGGTCCAAACATTCCGCTCTAGGCCTTATGCACCCCAAACATATTAAGTTTCTAGTAGGGCATTCGGGAATTTTGGAACCCTATACCCCCCCTCAAAACCCGATAAGAGGCTACCTACTTCCTTGATCCCCTCTTCGGAACCAGCAACGCAAGTCCCCCCTAAACCCTAAACCCTAAACCCGAAACCCTAAACCCTAAACCCTAAACCCTAAACCCTAAACCCTAAACCCTAAACCCTAAACCCTAAACCCTAAACCCTAAACCCTAAACCCTGAGCCCCCAAAACGTAACAATCTGGTCGGCGCAGGCCTACTTCCAGATGCTCCGCGCGCAGCTCAAGAGTCAGTCAATGTCTTCGCAGCAGGTGGCCCGGGTTCATGGGCTCGAGCTTGGGAGTTAGGGTTTAGGGTTTAGGGTTTAGGGTTTAGGGTTTAGGGTTTAGGGTTTAGGGTTTAGGTTTAGGGCCCTGGCCACGAACAAAGCATCCAGAGGATCTAGGGTTGAGGGCCACCCAAATCTCTAGCACTCTGAACCCCTGCTTGAAGGCGCCACGGGCGTAGGATTTCATAGGGTTGGAAGCAGGCCACATAGGGTTGCAAACGATCCACTTTCCCCTAATACCTCCGGCCGTAGCCCTTGAGCCCCCCCCAGCTAGCCCTAGCCACGCCCCGTTTTAAGATACCACCCGAGCCCGACCCGCCCCCCAATCCCCAGCCTCAACTTTCCTCAAAGCCTGCCCATACTACCCTATACACACATTCTAGTAATAATCTATCCCATAAACTCAAGCAACCCGCCAACTCCTACCCTCAACACCAAGCCTCAACCAATCCCGATAGAGTATTACATAATTTACGTAATATCTTATCCCGGTAAAACGGGGCGTGCCCCCTTGTAGAGTTTTATTGGGTTTTATAATATGGATAGTTATAAAACCGAACTAGCAGTGTCTGGAGTTGTAATATCTGCGTGGTGCTTCTGTTATGTTAAAATCTATTTGATCTAGTTTTTCTTTGCTACATTTATATCGTGTTCCGTGTTTCTGAATATGTAAGACATTTTCATAACCATCTATTAACTTCTTACGGCGATATTCATACATATCAATACATTTCCCATCACTTTCATCATAAAACTTCATCATCGCGTGTTTAGTCGGCACCCATGTTTTAATTTTGATTTCTTAGAGTCAGCTTGACACACAAACCTGTCAGCAGGTCGAACAGTTTCAGACTCCATTGCGTCTCTAAGTAGTTGTATGGGTCCCCTGAGATTATGTTTGTGTAAGAACTGCGCGTGAGTGACACGAGAGAGATGCACAGGATCATGATAGAGACTGCGCAGCTGCTTGAGTATTTGGACTTGGAGGAGTTGCGCACTAGCTTCTGTAAGCCCACAGCAGTTTAGCGCATAGGACACCGAGGACCAAATACAAGCCCGCCAGAGTTCAAACCTGACTTTGGTACTCAGAGCGTGTTTGCCACGCAGAATGCGAGCCAAGCGCCAAAAGTTAGCTGCTCCCGCTGACTCTAACTGGTGGCAGCACGTCTATGCCACCATGCAAGACAGCCCCAACGCCTCCCTAATTCAACTAGATAAGAGTATGGTCAAGTCCAGTGCCTGTCCGGTTTGTGGTCTCTAGTTTGCCTCTGAAACGGCTGTCCTGATCCATCAAGCTAAAAAGCACCCCGACCTTCCGCGTCCCGCGCAGCAACCCCGTGATTTTGTGCAACTACGTGATTCAATTAACGGACTCCCGCAATGCAGATATTGTCTGCGTAAATTCCCTCAGTGGCACGGCCTAAAACTACACATACAAAACCAGCACTGCCGAGCAGTCTCCACTTTACCCCCCAACGAACCTGTGCAGCCCATGCTTTCAGATTCATGTCCTGACCGAATGCAATGTGCCTCTACACCTGCTGAACTGCATAAGTTGCCTACTGCTTTACAGCACACTGAGCCTGAGGCGCCTGCCTCTCGGATGCCGACACCTGAATCCCCACCGCGTGCACAGACGACGACATCCCAGGACTGGGCAGTCCCTAACCAGCTCTGGCAACTACTAAGGCAGAAGGCCACCAACGCAGTCTACAGCTTCCCACAGTGTTCGCACCTCAGCCAACACTGCGCCAAATGCGGACAATGGCTGGTTCATGCGCGCATGATGAAGGTTCACTGGCAGCAAAAACATGCTGACCTTTACACAGCATACAATGCAGCCGCTACCGCTTCAAGTAAAACCTTTCCGAGCCCTGGATCCCCCTGTGCTTTCTGTCAAGGACGTACGCTTAATCCGCGTTCACATAAAACTGAATGCACGGCCCTTTGGCAGTTCCTTGTTGCCTTTCATCATCACAGGACTACGCTTGAAGATGGAGTCCCTGGATGCCGAAATGGATGGGATCTTCGGAACTGTCCAGGTCCAACAACTGCTACAGAATCCACAGAATCAGGGTGTACGGGCGAGGGAAGGGGGTGCCGAAGCACGGACCCCGAAGGCTGCCAGGCGAGAGGGCGGGAAGGGGAAGGGCGGCAAGTTCTCGCAGGGGTCGGAGGAGTCACTTGTTCACATGCTCTCAAGATTGGTTCTCAGACAGGAAGCGTCTATCCAAGCCCTACGACAGAGCACAGGATGGGTCCTCTTCGTCGCACCGGGCCCACAGAGCCCACTTCAGCTCCTCTTTCGAGTTGCAGCGGATTGGCGTCAGCAAATGGCGGAAAGAACCCACCATGCGCCACTTCGAGTGGTACTTATTTTTCAACTCTTCCAGCTGCTTCAAACACGCCTGACACAAAGTACAACAATCGGAACAGGAGCAGAAGGAGGCCAGGGAGAAGGGTTGGCTCGTGGACAATGGGTGGGTATACCAGAGGTGGCAGCCGGCGACAAAAACACTAGGGGTAGACGACACTCGTCCCCCAGTCACCGCCGAGGCACTGCTCACTGCGCTGACAGCAGCACTGCCAGCTATCCGGGAGGAGGGAGCCATCTCGAGGTTTCACGCGACACAGAAGCTGCAAGAGACACCTACTCGTGTGAGCACGTTCCTGCTGGATGTGGGACTGAGAAGCCCGAACGTCTTGAACCTTTGGCATCTGCTGGAGATGGCAAGGGGTCTCTCGGCACTTCAGATCTGCGGCCTCCAGATCAAACCAGAGGGTCTGAAGCGGTCCAAGCTTGCCACCGACGTCGCGCGCAAGCTCTAGCCGCAATACTAAGCTGCGTCCTCAACAACCCCAGCAACTTGTGTTATATTAACTCTTGGGTGCTTGCTTATCTGTGGACTTGTGCGCACCTTTCTGACTCCACTGGGCTCCTACTAGGTCGGTGTCCGCAAGCCTGGCGTGATGTGATGCATGCTGCATCACCTGTCAATATCTCTGCACTACCTTCCTGGAGAAGGCTGCTGCATGGATGGAAGGGACTGCACAGGCAGCATGATGCCTTTGAGTTTGCGTGCCATGTCAATGCAATGGACAGGCCGCTCATTCATACTGGCGAATGGCAGGCACGATTACGTAATGATGTTGGGTACCGCATTTGGGACAGGGGTGCCAAATATTACCCCATTGTCATGCGCTTCCCTGAACACCTTGATGAGCCCCTATCACTGCAGTCTGTCATCTTGCACTGGCATAATCAGCACGTTCCTTTTGCACTCAGTGATTCACCTCCTGCTGTATGTCTCCTGCTTGCCAGGTATCAAACTAGGATTGGGGACAATGGTCGTGCTGAGATCACCAAAGATGAGCGCTCTGTCCTGCTCAATAGACATCTCCAGCTGCCATGTTTCATACCGGACAGTACTGATTGTGTATGGCAACCATTTCAACTTACGGCAGCCGTCATTCACCATGGTCCTGACACCAGCTCAGGACATTACCAAGCGGTCCTGCTTCATGCTGAGACCACCTGGGAAAGACGACCATCGTCGTGCAAGGCCAACTAGCTTGGACACCCAATCGGTGCAGCAAGGTTGCTATATGCTGTACTTGACGAGGCGACTGCGTCCTGCTGGGGTGAGACGCCGGACTGAGGGGTAGCAGGTGTCACTGGGCTGCCGTCTTCCGGCCCCTGTGTGTGCCCATTTCACTTCTTCGCTGTGGGCTATTTTTGCTCATGTCCATCTTTGCACTTTGGCCTGTACTGGGGACATGCCTCTGATGCCACTTTGCCTTGCTAGCGTTGAAAATAAGTCAGCTTACCCTCTGCTGGCATGCCTCAATTGCCATGCAGCATTCCACATTGCCTGCACGTCTGCCAGTCGCCTTGTGTCTGGTACTACACGTGGCTTGAGGTCCATGGTTCAATCCCGCAGGCTGAGCGATGCAGTAGCAGTCTACTCACTCTGCTTGGCGTCTGTGAAACAGTTGCCATGTATTCTCACTTATCCTTTTCCTCTGTTTCTCTCCCTCTCTGTACAGTGTACATTCTCTGCGATGTGTTTACTTGCGCTGCTGTAGTTTTTGAGTTCATGGTCATTCGTGACGTTCTCAGGGCATTTGAGTTTAACTCATTTGTGCGTATACTTACGCCGGGTCACTCCGCCAATGTGTGGACGCGAAGCTTGGATTCGCTCGCTGCGTTGGAAGAAGAAGAAGTTTTGATTTCTTTAATATTACTATAGTGTTCTGATGCCAACAATTCAAGTACTGTGTGTCTATAGATAAACTCGTATCTTAAAACGGGGCGTGGCTAGGGCTAGCTCCCCCCCCCAGAGTCCTCGAACGGGTTTTGGGGTGTGTGTTGGGCGGTTCGCAGGCGAGTTCCAAAGATGGTTCACGACTTCCTTGAGTTTAGGGTTTAGGGTTTAGGGTTTAGGGTTTGTGGGCCTACTTGCAGCTACACTGCTACACTAGAACCTTCAAATATTTGATCGTTCCGACAAGGTTTCGTCATACAGCTCTCTGCTCCTAAGCAAACCCAAGCCCCAAACTCCTAAATCCCAAACCCGTAAACCCTAGACCCTAAACCCTAAACCCGAAACCCTTGGAGTTGGCGGAGTGTATAAGCGGCTCAAACCCCTCGCACTGGCACGTCAGGCGGGCGGCGAGTAACGTGTCACCAAGTCGGGGGATCCGTTCCCTCAAAGTCTCACTCCGTTTCACACACCATTTGTAGGGTTTAGGGTTTAGGGTTTAGGGGTTAGGGTTTAGGGTTTGGGGTTTGGGGTTTGAGAGAATCCAGAGGTAGCACCGGAATGCCCACCCCCAGATATCCCAACACCGCGTTCCGCAGAGTCTCCCTCTGAAGTTCCCCAGGTGCCTGTGATATCAGATATATCATGCATAAAATAAATATGAATAGATAACGTACAAAGAAATGGATAAATAAATAAGTATAAATAAATACATATATATATAACATATACAAGCATAGTAATCTGATATAAGATCATCGAATATACATAATCCAACACACAGATATCTATGTAGCGCCGGGTCAAGAAGGAGGGTTTAGGGTGCAGGTATTAGGCCAGCGTCTCACCCGGTAAGAAAGCGAAGGCAGCCGGGGGGTGCGAAGCGATGTATCGCCCGGCCCAATGTACAAACCGGGGTTCTCCCCAGAGCACGGCTCCCCGAAGTGGCGGAAGGTGTAGGGTTTGTTTAGGGCCTATGGTCCCGGGTCCAGGGTCTGGGGTTTAGGGTTTAGGGTTTAGGAGGTTTACCAAGTAAAGACAGTGAGAACCGCCAGCCTGTGGGACAGAAGAGCCTTTAATCTTTGAGCCCCCTGAGCCCCAAAACCCCCTTTAAACCATCCAAAAGCCCTAAGCACCGGAGTTCTAAGACACCAACCCCGACGAACACGAGAGGGCCAAGCCCTCTCAAACCTCCCACCTGCACGATTTAGGGTTTAGGGTTAAACCCTAAAGCTCACGCCTCCACAGTTAAATCCTTCGCTCAAGTACCCGAAGCCTTGGCCAACAAGCCCTCAAGCACCCAGAAACCCCTTCGTCATAGGTCATAGGAAGGGTGCCGTGATCCCGAGAAGCTCCAGATCAGCATTGCTCATGGATGAGCACCACTCACCAGCGGCAGGGTTCGGGGCGCGCAGCCAACCAGGTCGGATAGGAACGTTTCCAGCATGTGTGAACTGCCAACATACGGCAGGCAGTCGCCCGAAGCAGAGCACTTAGCCAAGGAGCTCGGACTGTTAAACGAAGCCCTAAACCTTCCAACCTTAGCCAAACCTCTAAAGCCTGAACCCCAACCTTCCCCGGTTCCCTTCCCTCCCCAAAGCGCCTCGAACCCAAGCCGCGGGGGCGTGGAAGTTGCACGCCGGGGTCGACAGCTCCAACTCGGAGAGTTCATTTCGGGTTCAGCAGGGGTTAGAGCTCATGAGGGGTTGAGATTTTTTAGGGCTTGTAGGGTTTGAATCCAGGATATAGGGAAAAGGGGGTCGGGTTTCCAAGGGTTTTGGGTAGGAATGGCGCAGAAGCCAGGAAGCAGGGTGTCCCTCCCCCGACGTCGGCCCTAGACTCAAAAAAGGCACAGAGGCATGGAGCTTTCTGCTGAGGGTGCCCTAAAGTGTACCGCCACGAACCCTAAACCCTAAACCCTAAACCCTAAACCCTAAACCCTAAACTCTAAACCCTAAACCCGAAACCCGCACCCTAAACCCTAAACCCTAAACCCTAAACCCTAAACCCTAAACCCTAAACCCTAAACCCTAAACCCTAAACCCTAAACCCTAAACCCTAAACCCTAAACCCTAAACCCTAAACCCTAAACAGGCTTCGGCCTTCACAGGTGGTGTCAGAGTTTCGAGGTTTTGGGCTTAGGGTTTTGGGTGTTCAGGGGTTTGGGGTTCACAAGCCCTACGCTCCAAACCCTAAACCCTAAACCCTGTGTCGGAGTGCCGTGGCCCAAAAGCTTCCGCCGCGGCCCAGCTCAATTTTCCGTGGCCGAGCTCCAGCCAAAGACCCACGGCTCATCCATTTCGAGTTTAGGGCTTTTGGGGTTTAGGGCATAGGGTTTAGGGTTTAGGGTTTAGCGCTTTTCGGGTTTAGGGTTTTGCGTTTTGGGGTTTAGGGTTTAGGGCTTCGGGTCAGGGTCCAGGGTGGCTTTGGGTAGGGCCCGGAAAACCCCAGAAACTTAAGAGCATGGCCTTTCTACAAATTTGGGGACCTTATTTAAAGATCGAGTAGAGTGAGGGGAACCTTTAAACTTTGACTCTTGTAGCTGAAAAGACAAAGGCCAAACCCTAAACCCTAAACCCATGTCTATGTTGATCCCAGCTCCGCCCTCGCGTGAAAGGAAGTTCAGGGCACTGGGCGCTTCTTGGGGTTGAGGAAAAGCTGTTTGGGGTTAAGGATTTAGGGTTTAGGGTGTAGGGTTTAGGGCTTCTACGGTAGTTTAATGGTTTGAGGAGTTTGGGGTTTCGGGGGTTGTGATGGAAAACAAACCAAACAGAACACCTTGAAGCTGAAGCCCCGACCCGAAACAAGAGTCCATCAACCACCCAACACTTGCCCACCAAACACCCAATCCCCCCAAACCCGCAGAAACCCCAAACCCGAAACTCTTCAAGCCATTTGCCCTCAACCCTAAGCCCTAAGCCCTAAACCCTAAACCCTAAACCCTAAACCCTAAACCCTAAACCCTAAACCCTAAACCCTAAACCCTAAACCCTAAACCCTAAACCCTAAACCCTCAAGCCCTAAAGCCCTAAAGCCCTAAACCCTAAACCCTAAACCCTAAACCCTAAAACCTTAAACCCTAAAGCCCTAAACCCCACACCCTACCAGGATCAGCATGTTCCGCTGGGCCGGCCTCCTCTTTGCGCAGCTGGCCGTGGTGGGGGCCGTAGACAAGCCCGTGGCTTGGACGTGGGAATTTACAGGGTCCCTAGAGGTTGGAGTTCAGGGCTCAAGGGTTTAGGTTTGGGCTCTAGGATTTGGGGTTCAGGGTTTAGGGTTTGGGGTTTAGTGTTGCTAGCTTTTGTTCTTACGATTTTTCAGGGTGTTGCCTCAAAACTAGTGGCACCTTTGTGGGGGTCGAGGGTTAAAAAGGGTCGGGGATTCTGCAATATTTGGGCCATGAAGGGAGACCCTGAGGGGTTTAGGGTTTAGGGGTTAGGGGTTAGGGTTTAGGGTTTAGGGTTTAGGGTTTGGGGTTTATGAGGCTGGGAAGCTCCCTTTTTGTGTGAGGTCAAGCAGTGGCTGGCAGGCTAGTGTGAGGTCAACCGGAAACCCGACACCCTCTCGAAACACACGAGGCGAGCCCTGTCAAACCCCAAACCCCGAAACCCCAAACCCCCAACCCCCAACCCCCAACCCCCAACCCCAAACCCCAAACCTCAAACCCTAAACCCTAAACCCCCGATGGCTCCCCGGTTCCCATAACCACTGACACTAAATATTTAGGCTCTCAGGTTACATGGGACAAGGCCACTAAGCATGCCATAGAAGCTCGTAAATCCAAGGCGCACATTTCCTACATCAAACTCCAACATTTCTGGAGGTCACGCATCAATTCTAGAACTAAAACTAGAATCTTCCATGCCATAGTCTTGCCTACATTACTGTACGGATTGGATATGGTACCACAAATATCTTCGGAGAGCACTAGGAGTCAAGGACTCATATTATTCACACATCTCGAACCGAAGGGTATGGACGCTAGCTGGCCGCCCCACGCTACCATCCCAAATTCTGACCTCTGCCCAGTTAAAGCAATTGGCAAATACCTTGGCTACACCGCCCAACAATCCGGTGCACCATGTAGTATACTCTCCGGGTTGTAAAGATAGGATCAAATTCACGAAGTCTTCACACAGAGGACATCCCCAAAGATATTGGCTGGAACTCAATACCGAGTATGCATTACCGGTGCTTAAAGAATACATAAGGCTAAACCGCATAAACACGGAGGAGCAAAGGCAAGACTTCTTAGGCCTCAAACACCTCCTTAATAGGGACCCCCTCTTCCTGTCTTTCCTGGAATCTGCGCCGACGCGCTGCCCCCACTTGTTCAAAAGACACGCCAAAGCTCTTGCATGCGCATGGCTGCCATAAAAAAAAAAACCCCAAACCCTAAACCCCAAACCCTAAACCCTAAACCCTAAACCCTAAACCCTAAACCCCAAACCCCAAACCGCCCAAACCCTAAACACCCCAAAAGCTCGACCTCAGGATGGCTGCAGCGACGCGCAGTGGACCACGCAGTGCTCTGGTGGTGCCACGTGCCAATCCTTAGCGGATGCCGGGCTCACGTGTCTTGCTGTGAGCCTCCTGGCTGAGGGGTTTGCAAAGGGTTTAGGGTTTCGGGTTTAGGGTTTAGGGTTTAGGGTTGCTCTCTATTGGTCCGGGTAAGGGGTTTGGGGCCCAAGTTTTACACAAAGCTTGGGTCTTCTGTTGAAAGAAGTCGGGATTGAGGCTTTGTTGGGCAGCAGTAGAGCAGTACGAAGACGAGGGTTTGGCGGTCTTGCTTGTGCGCGTCCTAGGCATGGTGGGGAACTGTGATGTGGCATGCGCCGAACCCTGCTGCATCACAACCACCACCACCACCATGACCCACACCGCCACAAGCGTGACGCACACCACCACGGCATCCACGGTGACGGTCTCCGAGACCACGGTGACCGCCACCACCACAGCCACCAGCGTGACCCACACGGAGACGGCGACAACCGTGACACAAACGGGGTCCAGCACACACACGGAGACGTCGGTGACGGCCACCTGCACCCCGGAGTCGATTCAGTGCGGCTCTCCACTTTAGAGTTTAGGGTTTAGGGTTTAGGGTTTAGGGTTTAGGGTGCCAAGTTCAAGAACTGGAACCCCCAAAAGCCCAAGACCTTATTTGGGCTTGGCTTTCTCGGTTTTTTTGTTGCGGGCTGACGTTTTCATCGGGACGGGAGGAACCCCCCTTTTGAGGTTTAGGGTTGATAGCTTAGGGTTGACAACCATTCCACCCAAGAAGCAGGGACCCTACAGATGTAGTTGTAGTATGCAAGGGACCATTTTAGAATGTCATTTCAAAGTGGGGCCACCAATCTGATCCCTAAACCCTTGTCTTGTCAAACAGAAGTCTAGGCCTAAACCCCGAACCTTAAA